GCCTTCGAATTGTGAATTTGTTTTATCGTCATGTGCGTAATTAACATCTTGAATTCTTTCGATCCACATTTTTGGGATCGCATTTTTAAGCTTCGTATACATAAAATCAACTAGCAAAGAATTTGAGCCGAGCACTCTACAAATATGTTCTCTTGGCCGAAAACGTCCATTTTCTACAATGTCATTCATTGTTATAATGCCTTTTCTAAACCATTCTTTAAAAAAGAGAGGTTTGCTCTCATGTGTAATATTACTATTGTACCACAATACTTGATTTTCAACATTCATAACTTGTGGAAATTGTGGAAACATCTTCTTTATCTTACAGGAACGTGGCATCTTGTATTGGAGATTCAAAAGCAAACACTTGCACACGCACCTGGGACTAAGTGGACTTAACTCAATCATCTGATATTGCAATTCAATTTCATAATTCTTCTTCTTGTCATGAATAGATGACAACTTGTTTGATTACGTTTATTATCAATGAGGCACCCTTTTCTTTCATTTATTTGTATACTAGCTCATATGTATGTATTACTCTGTTATCATATCGGATGTAAACATGTAATTATGCATGACATACTGTTAACTTTTTTTTTTTTTAATTTTACATATTGGAAGAAATAAATGAGAGCTATATGCTCTCTCAATCAATTGTTCACAATCTCTTATCTCTCATACATATTGCTTTAGGGTATGACTATTCAAATTCTAACCGATGTAAACGGTGTGTCACCATTATACATTTTTTTTAAAGAAATAATAATTACCAATGAAAACAGAGAGATTAGGTGTCATTATTTATTTACTGAGGAGACAATATGATATTATTTTGTAGTTTTCGACCCACAACGGAGGGTTACAAAGAGTCAATACATCATACCTACTTTTTTTTTTAAATGCGCCATCAAATTCTTCATTTACTCTTTTGTTTTGGCGCTTTAATAATTTAAATCATTGAACTGGTCCATTGTGTTGTTTTTGTTTCTTTTCTTTCGTTCGGAAATGTTATAACTTAATTCATTTTGTTTCGATTTGGATTGTTTGTTTTCAATACGTTTGTCAATTTTGTAATTATGTTGTAGGGCCTCCACGCGGAAAACAGTATTTAACTACTGATGGAGCCACCCTACTAAAAAAAGACTAATAAATACATAAATACGTTCAATGTTGGTCTGTTATAACTGGGTCATGCCTTGATGCCTTCATCACCTCTATTTATATTTGTGGGATAAAAGCTTATCAATGAATTTCATTCATTAAAAGGCATTTGTATGAGAAATATTATCCAGTGTCATGCGTTGCCTAATTCTCCCTGAATAAAATCAAGTAATATGATTATATCGGCTGAAATGTCCCGTTTCTGTATACATCGACATTGTTCCGTCTGATTCCTCTCTATCTTTCTATCTCTTTAGATTAAACTTCATAGCTTTCTTTCTAACATTAACTCTCTTTTTCTCTCTCCTTCCCTAAGGCTTCCTCGCTCTCTCTTTCTCTCACGTTCGCCTATATTCCACAAACTATTATACATGTATATCGATTATCTACATTTTTATTTTCATTTCTTCATCCATCCAGGAGGTCGAAGTAGATGGAGAGAGAGAGAGAGAGAGAGGAGAGAGAGAGAGAGAGAGAGAGAAAGAATCTTTAGATATAAATAGAATGTGGAAAAGGTGGAGAGGAAAAAATATGAGAGAGAGAGAGAGAGAGAGAGAAAGAGAGAGAGAGAGAGAGAGAGAAAGAATCTTTAGATAGAAATAGAATGTGGAAAAGGTGGAGAGCGAGGGAAAAATACAGAGACGCAGGGGGGGGGGGGGGTTAACTCCCCCTTTTGCATTTTTAATGTGTGTATTTTGGAGGAAACCCTCCCCCCCCCCTTTGGTATTTTTTTAAAAATTATGCCAATGGTTGACCTAAAAAAGGTGACCTTATTCAGCGGCTGGCTGAGTCGTTGCGATTTTTTTGAGACCAAATAAAAATTAAAAAAATGTCCTCTTTTTTTTAATATCCCCCCCCCCAATATTTCAGGTGGGGGGGGGGGGGGGATGGCCTCTACAATCACCCCCCCCCCCCAACAGTTTAATGATGAGAGCCCGATGAGAGCCCGATGAGAGTAGTTAATGGTTATTACTCGCAAGATGACCATCAATATACACATTTTGCTATCACATTTTCATAATTCGTACATATTTAAAGAGAAAACGAAGTAAATGAGACAACCGTATATGAGACAAGAATAAATTGAATTCTCGCTCTACGGCTTCATCAGGAATTTATCAATTTATTCGATTTATTCAATCAACAGCATCATACAAAGCCGCAGCGTTAAGCGAAGCGCAAAAGTGCAAAGAAAAAGAAGTAAAGAGTGGGAGAGAGAGATAAGGAGAGACAGAGGGGATAATAACCCAGGTAGCAAGTCCATGTGGGACCCACATGGGTCCCATATTCTCTGAAACATATGGAAAACCATCTGGGGCCCTTAGGTATCTGCACCCAAGAAGCATAATGGGACCCATATGGGTAAACCCATATGAGACAGGTGGGACCCAGATGGAACTCATACCAAACTGGGCCCATATGGGTATGCCCAGCTTAATCCCACCTGGTACCCATATTGGTTAACCCAGATAATATCTCCCATGTGGGTTAACCCAAAATTTTCCCATTTGTTACCCATATGGGCATATTCATATTCTACCCATATGTGTACGCCCAGCTCATTCCCATCTGGGACCCATTAGGGCGGGCCCAGATAGATCCCATATGGGTTACTAAATATTGGCCCCATATGGGATACATATTATGGGTTCCATTTAGCCCAGATGGCACAAGTTAGTGACCCACCTTGCTACCTGGGAAAAAGGGAAAAGGGGGAGAAACGGGCAGAAGAAAAAGGAAGGGGGAGAGAAAAGGAAGAAAGACAAGAGAAAGACGGTTTTGTCCAAATGGCAGCATGTAGGAGACGAACCTTTCAGTTTGTTCCCTGATTCATACTCAGTGTCTATTTTGTTTTATTGAGTTCATCCATTTCTTTGTTTATTTATATCTCTACATGTGAAACATTTTGAAGAGCTATTTTCCGAAAGGAGCAAAATCTTTTGATAATGATATACATTTTCCTCTATTTACCCTGAACAAAATTATTAACCTAAATTAGGAGAGAAATTATGAACACATACATCTTTTAATAACAAATTTACATAGACACCTGAACAAAATCGAGTAAACAAAGAGTTCTTTCTTAAGTTACACACATGTATCTAGTGCCTCTTGAAAATAAGCTCTTTGTATGTACATAAACAAGCAATCCAACAGAATACTCCAGTTCGATATTTTGGAGAAAGATTATTATGTCACAACTTATTTTTGTTTTATTGAATAGCTGATGAAGGCCTATGTATTGTATTCAAACGTAACATGCATAAGATAGTTGATGTTTTTTTTAAGGTTAGAATGTTATTAAATTTGAAGTTTTGTTTATAACACCCTTCCAATAATAGTGCACCTTCTAAGAATGGTTGTAGTTTTTGAAGAAAAAAATAGTGCTCTCGTCAGGGCCTTAGGGTAATATTATGCTAATATTTTAGAGCGTATCTGGTATGATAAGTATATCTGGGTGAAGAAGGAGATAATGGAAGTTTTTTGTTTGATAGTTGGAACGTAAGTTTTATATTATGTTTTTAAGAAACAGACAGTTTGTATGAGATCAGGAGAGGAAACTTTCTGTCATTTTGAGAACCAAATTTTGCATCAGTGATATTCTGTTTCATTGAATTGAGTTTTCCGCACAGAGGATTCAGTTGGTTTAATTAAAGAAGGAAGAGAGTCAAATGAAGAACCAAAAGCAATATGTTTCTCATTTACTAATGAGAACTATGTTTTTTGAAATCTCCTTACACAGAATATTGGAATGGGTTTTTCACGATGAATGTTGTTTGGAGACATCAATATTCTTAAAATGTATGTTTCTATCACCAGAAAATAAAGAATTTTCTGTCTACATGAACTTTCCTGGTTGCTTATTAATGCATTTGCCCACTGGTCACATAATATTTTCACAAATTGATATCCCTCACTATTGGATTTTGTTGTTGGTAATGTCTAAATTTCCTTTAAAAATAGATGATATCAGTCTGGTAGGCCTACACTGCAGGCAAGAGTCAGGACTAACATTTATCATGTTATTAATGTTATTACCATTCTTATATTCTCTGAAATGTTATCTGTGTTGAGTTGGAAGGGAGGGGTGCAACCTGCCACACGCTTCTAGCTCTTGGTTGCTTTGATCCATTGCCGAAAATATTTTGGCACCTATCACCCCCCCCCTACCACGGATACAAATCGACACCCCTGTACGTATGTATTGTATTACCTCTATCATATTCCGATTAGCATGATTAGAAAAACAATGAAGTTCAATTTTTCATGAAGGGTTATCTCTTATTGACGATCATAAAACACATCTATGTGGGTAAGATTAAAAACCCGTATCTATATCTTGGTTTCAAAGTCCACATTTGTCGACTCAAAAGATTGTCGCATATAAACAAATGGATAAAGGCACTTAAGAATTAATTATAAAAACAACCACTACGTTTAGTATGAAAGTCTAAACATGGGTGATATTTGAGGTTGTCAATCAGGCATCGAAAACGATCCACAACAAAAATGGAGTTTAAAAAAACTACACGTCTAGCAGTTTTTCTGTGTCTCTTCTCCGCTGTGCTGTCTATTAATGTACAGCATGGAAAGCACGAAAGGCTCAAGAAATCTACGAAAATGGAGGAGGCGGTGATGCATCCCAAAAAGATCTACCAACGAGCATTTACACCGCCAAAGGAATCACCCCGCAAAGGCGCTTCTGCTGCTGACGACGACGCTGATATCGGCGAAATCTCTCAAATGCTCAACGACGAGTTTATGCGGCGAATGGAACTGGATGATTCTAAAATGCATGATTCCCTAAGAAATCTACAGAAATGGAGGAGGCGGTAATGCATCCCAAAAAGATCTACAAACGAGCATCTACACTGCCAAAGGAATCACCTCGCAAAGGCGCTTCTGCTGCTGACGACGACGCTGATATCGGCGAGATTTCTCAAATGCTTGACGACGAGTTTATGCAGCGTATGGAACTGGATGATTCGGAAATGCATGATCCTCCAAAAATCAAGAAAACTGCAAGACCACTAGAGGGAATGGACTTAGATGGTATGCATCCAATTAGGCCTGGAGTAGCTGGAGTTCAAGCCAAAGATGCAAAGCCTGTTGATGATCCAGCCATCAGGGATTCTGATCTATTTTCCGTCTTGGGACAGGATATATTACAGCAGTTTGACTTTGACGACAGCGCCATGCATCCCAGAGGGGTTGCTAAGCAACCGTCTCGTTCCTCTACAAAGTCCAGAGCTCTTGAGATGGACGAGCGCGTCATGCATCCCCATGCTGCCAACAGGGAGCAGCAAAAGGACACTCCTGCGATAGAACCATCAAAGGAGGAAGATCCTGACATCTCAACCGAGCTTGGTGAAGATTTCATGCAACAGTTTGAGCTCGATGACAGTCTCATGCACCCAGTCGATGGCCGCGTAGAGTGGAAGAAGTCGTCTTATTACAACGGCAGGGATAAAACCGCAGGCCTTCGAATGCATCCGAAGGCGGCTCCTCATCAGCAACAAGGTGCGGAGGATGTTGTGAAAGAAGACGATGTGGATGATGAAATCGATGCCGATGAGGAACTCGGACACGATTTCATGCAGCGTAAGGAACTAGATGGCTCTGGCATGCACGATCCGAATTGGCAACATCGGGAAGATCCTGAGAAGTTCCAGAGGATCAGGAGGAGTAATTCCCGTCGCTTAGACCGGGGCATAGGCTTCCCACTACACGCTTCTTGTGGATTGAATTGGTAAGAATAATAAACGGAATTCTAATATTGAAAACTGTCGTCTGCTTTTATGACAATCAAAAATAATACAGAGGGAATGACAATTTTATTTTCAAAGTGGATTGGGCATTTATCACGAAAGGGTATACCATTTTGGGAAAAAGGGGCGCTGACAAAACTCCACTGAAAAGGCTCAGTAAATTTGTTTAGGCATTCTCTCTTGATCTCTTAACCACCTTTAATTAAATATTTTGTATCTAATTATGAATATGATTCTCGTCTTCCTACATGTACGTATACAACTAATTTACAACTTCTGAGAAATGTGAGGACTGGTGTCCCAAACGATTGCAGTGCTCCCCATCTGGGTGCATGTTTTTGGGCCTTATAGAAAATTATGATTTGCAATTTGATAGATCGTCAAAAAGTCATAGAAATGGCAATATATTACAATTTGACCCAGAGGCCCGGAGCGACATCCAAAGTGAGGGGGGGGGGGGCAACAAAAAGGGCATATTCTGGAGAAAAAAGGGGCACCTTCAAAGGGAAATCTCAAAGCGAAAACAAAAATCAGACGTGATGGTGTGAAAATTCATTTAAGAGCGAGGAAAAAAATCTAAGATTAAAAAATTACATCTTATAAAGAGGAAAGACCCAATCCTGATGGGGTTATAAGCACATTCGCATTACGGAAGACTGAAAAGGCCTTTGATAAGCAACATAATTATAACATCTATAATTGCGAGCGAGCGTAGCGATCGAGCTTTGGGAGAAATTGCTCTTAGTCGCTTGAAATTAAGGGCACGTTTAATGATGAGAGGAAAAGGGGACACGTATCGAAAGGGATAAGACACTTATTAAAAAAGAAAAGTACAAAGGCTAATTATCAGAGGTGAAAATGGGGCACTTCTTACTCCTAAAAAAAAGGAAAAGGCACTTATGAGAATGGGAAACGGGCATTTGTCGACGGAAAGAGGCACCCATCAGATTTTAATAGGGGCATTTAGAAGAAGCGAAAAGGGGCATTTATGAAAAAGGGATAGGTTTCTTATTAGAAAGGAAAAGGGGCACGTATCATTGTTAAGAGGGTAATTATCAGATGTGAAAAGGGGCACTTATCGCATCTGAAAAGGGGCACTGACCATATATTAAAAGAGGCACTTATGAGAATGAAAAAGGGGCACCAATAATAAAGGGAAAGTTAGAAAGTTACCCGAGTTAAAAACGGGTAGTTATTAAAAGGGGAAGGGGTACTTCTTACAAAGACAAGGGGCACTTAAAGCAAAGGGGCACTTATCGTACCTGAAAAGGGGCAATTACTAGAGATTAAAAAGGGTACATATGAGAATGAAAAATGGACACTTATTGCAAAGGAAAATTGGAACTTGTCGAAGGAATAGGTGTACGCGTCAAAATAAAAGGGGCACTTATCAGCTAGAGTTGGACAGGGGAAGGCACACTTTTACAAAATAATAGGGGCACTTGTCTAAGCAAAAAGGGCACTTTTCCTTTGTAAAACCGGGGCATATTTAAAGGTCGGTACTTTAAAAAGTTTAGGGGGCATTTTTGGGGTACTTGAAAATGTGGGGGGGGGGGCACTGTGCCCCCTGCCCCCTCCCCGGGAGCGCCGCCTCTTATTTAAAACCGGGGCATATTTAAAGGTCGGTACTTTAAAAAGTTTAGGGGGCATTTTGGGGGTACTTGAAAATGGGGGGGGGGGCACTGTGCCCCCTGCCCCCTCCCCGGGAGCGCCGCCTCTTATTTGACTCCATGCAGTTATGCAATATTTTATTCCTTAGTCCCCTCCCTGCTTCTGTTTTGTTAATTTGTTTTGGTTTTCAATTGAAGAACTGCGCTGTTCTTTGTTCATTGCTGGCCTCGATACTGTATATGATTATTAACGCCTAACTATTTTCCCTCTATCCATCCCATGTGTTGAAAATGCAGGGCGGTCACAAATTTGATATCCTCATCCAACCCTAACCTAGGATCGCACCCTCGCCCCACCCCCAACACCCCCAATCGGCCAAAGGACGTACCTTAACCCCTGTGAGCGGCGACATCGAACTCTTACCTACATTTTGATCAGCTGGCTAAGGCGAACTCTTAGTCTGATTCAAGATGCAGTCATTTAATCATCTCATTTAAATCCTCAAATTATTACACATATTCATTTATATTATACATTTAAAACTCATTTCATTAATAAATCATTGTCAACTAGACCCTAATGAAAAATAATTTCAATCGTTACTATAATTGAATTTTACCTAGCAGTTATGTACAAATTTATACATAGAGAAAACTGAAAAGAGAACAAGCCTCGCTCCCCGTGGGTACGGTGGACGGACGGACCATTATGTACGTACCGGTACTTTTGTAAACAATAACTTATTGTGTGATATAATCATTGCAAATACCGGACTAACTGTCTCGTGATCTCGTGATGGTTAGTGCGAAATACTCGAAGCTACATGAATCGGAAGACGACGGCCTGACATTATCAGATAGATATTTCAGAAGAGGCGGTTTCTTTGGCAAAATGTTGAAAGGAGGAGCTGTATTTTTACTCGTCGGCATTTTGCTGGCATTGTGCAGCAGCATATTCGTGGACGGGTTTGGATACCCGTTGCATGCATCATGTAAAATCGATTGGTGAGTGCATGCGGATAAGCGGATTCAGTTCAGCTCAGCTCAGCTAGCCCAGAATCAGAGCATTTGCAATTTGCATCATGTACAGCTAGCAGCTATACAGTATATATGCTTCTCTGTGTTGAATTGCACAAGTCAAGAGCGATTGATAGAAAGGAAATAAATTTGAGGGTTAAAACCAAACCAAACTGAGTGAATTATACATGTATGGCCATGGAAAATGAGGGGGCAATTTGGAAGAGTTTAACAGGGTGGCTCACAAAAAAATATGTACTAACAAGTAACATACTAATTTCAATAACATGGGGCAAATTTCGGCACTAATACACTTTCGCACCAGGCCAGGGGTGCTCCATTTTGTCACACGCCTACATGTATTTTGCGTAGAGAGTCTATGGAGCTGGAGGAAGCCAATGAATGTGACAGAATGAAGTACAGTGTTGTAGGCCTACATATACTCCTGCAGTGGCGGTGTGAAGTACTTCAGTGCCCAAATTTTAACGATACTCTTAAATGAGATCTTTTTAGAAGAAAAATGATACAAATTTTGCTACAACTGGTTGAGTATTTTTTTCTATCTTCAGATGCATTTTTGTGAAAAAATGTTGAAGACATCCACTGGCAGTGCTCTTTTTAATAATGTTTTTTTTGTTTGTTTAATTCTGCTGTGACACAATTTTTGTTGTTGTTCAACCAATGGAAAAAGACTTTCTGTTGTACAGGTAAGACAGATGAATCAATGAATTAAATTCAATTACATTTATAAAGTGCATTTTCATGAGATACAAAGTGCAAAAGTATCATTATTTAGTTTAAAAAATGGTAATATGCTTGAGCTTTGGGAAAGCTGTAAATAATAGTAAGATTGAACAGAAACATAACATTCCATACACATTTTCCCTTCTTTTAAAAATATTTGTATTGCCTTATTTAACACAGACATGACATTGATTATACAAATTGTTTAAAGTGCCGTTTTATTGATCCTGAACAAATTTCTTCCTACACTATTAGTATTAGCATGTGTCACAAAGTGCTCCCTAAAACAAAAACCTGTCTATCAAATTTATCAAGCTTGGAAATGCCCAAAAGAGCCCCGAAAATCAGAAAAGAGCCCCTGTAAATTTGCATAGAGTTCAATGCAAAACAAATTTTGGAGTGTTAATTTCATGCAGGCAAGCTTGAAAAGTAGCCCCAGAAAAATAAATATTAATTTTTTCCCTGATTTTTCATGTGGAAAAATGTGAAAAGATTCTCCAGTACTAGTGAATCTGACACCCACATTCATTAGAAGTATGCTATTCTATTTTATTTATTTATTTATTTATTTATTTTTTGTTTTGTTGGGGGGGGGGGGGGGGGGGAAGGGCACCCTGTAAATATCAGCGCCAAGTGTGTTTTGTTAAATACAGGTACATGTACATGTACATGTATACTATCAGGAACTCAGTCAGTATACATGTAGATATACTTGTCCGTAATGCACCCCAATGTGATATGTTATTGTTGAAATTAGTGAACTGTATTGCATTTGCATCAAATTATTAATAATTTCTCTCTTTTTTTTGTACAGGGTATTTGGAATGAACTGTTCCTCAGTTTCTAAGGCTCTCGAGCAACAGATCGCGAAGTGGAGCACCAAAGATAATTGCGCTGACGGAGGAGAGAAATGCCTCTACAAAGTGAGTTTTCTTCTTGAAATTCTGTTTTTCTAGTTTCTTTATCTTATTCCCCATATTCTACTTATTATTATGTTGTACTCCCTCCTCAGCTGTTCCTGTCTCTGCTGCTTCATCGCACCTTCTTCTTCTGTTTTTTTTTAATCTCCTTCTCCTTATGCTGTTTTTTAAAGTTTTGACACATTGACAGACTCATAAATGTATGAGCTAGGGTCTTTATTTGTTTTTCAAAAGTTTGTAATGATTACCAAGATAACCTTGTTTCAGTAAAAAGTTTTTTGGCCTTTAAAGGTATTATGTCCCTTTTGCAGCTAACCTCAAATTTTGTAGAACTTTGCAGGAATTATGAATATGTCATGTATGTCCTATCCAGGGCTCAAATTAATTTTTTGTTCACGGGGGCTCTTTTAGTGCTGACGGGGGCTCTTATTTTAATACAAATTTCCATTGAATTGGTACCCATGAAACTCCTAAATTCCTTGTTTTTTATCATTATCATTTATTGTCCACGAGCCGCGTAGCGGCGAGGCAATTTTTGTTGTTGCTATTTTGAACCCCCGTAAAGACAGTGATGTTTTCCTGACATCTACTAACATGCGGAGCATCGTCCACGAGCCGCAAAGCGGCGAGGCGATTTTTTGGTGCTATTTTGAATCCCCGTATTAAAGCGATATTTTCCTGGCATCTACTAACGTGCAGAGCATTTTTTTGGTGCTATTTTGAACCCCCGTAAGTGATGCCTTCCTGGCATCAGGCGCGGATCCACGGGCCGATTCTACCGGCCCAGCCCCCCCCCCCCAGCCTCCCAAACCGGTAAAAAAATAGGATAGTAACATAAATTTTACCTTTAAGAAAACACCAAAAGAACGCCCCCCCCCCCCAGACCTGCCAGTGATATAAATGCGGCATCAAAATATTTGTGCTTCTCTGACCGTAATTAAATGCCTAAAACTCCTGAGCTTCTGGGGTTTCCGCATCCTGAACCCCCCACACCAATTTACCCTCGCTACCCTCTACCTGATCGTAAAAACTTTAGCCCCCCACTTTGATAAACGTTCCGCGGGGCCTGTGTATATAATATATACGCATACAACACTGATCTTTCTGATGTCTTTAACGCGACATATCTTCTTCTCTTCTCTTCTGTGATTCAAATTGATGCGTATATTTGTTTGAATAAGCACTGCTATTCACCCGAATCTTCTTTGTAAAAACAACTTTTACAAATCTCAGCCATACTAACTGAGATGAGACTTTCCATTCAATTTGAAATACTCATTAAAGAATACACTTCTCCTAATCTGAAAGTGATCTTACAACACAGTGGCAGAATTGCATGGCTGAGATTTGTAAAAGTCTTTTTTACAAAGAAGATTCTGGGGAAAAGCATTGCTTATTCAAAAAAATCCTTGCATCCATTTGAATCACAATGATCATTTTGTCGCATGATCCTTTTATTAAATAACCTTGTTTTCTTTTTGTTTGCAGGGGGAGAAGAAGCTATGCCACGTTAAGAAATCATAAAGATCAGTTGTATTATGCGTATATTACCTATGATAACAGAACAAAATGTTGATTATCAGAATGTCATTTTGGAATACCTCTATACAAATACCCGATCTTACTGGGCCGATACCACATTATCTTTAGCCCATTTCAGTATTAGTATGAGCCAATATAAAGTTATTATTCTTTATTCAGTTCAGTATAATGCTTTTCCTCAAAAATACTTTCGCTATTTTTTTTTAGGGTTGAGACGCTAAGAAATGATTTCAAAATGTACATTACACAAACCCTAAACCATTGCATAATGATGGTGGTTCTCTCTCTCTCTCTATTTATTTTAATCATGCATTATCAACTACATATAAAGCAGCAACAAAAAACTTAGGGTTATCTGGGGTAGGTGAAAGTGAGAGTTAATGCTAAAATGGAGCTTCACCCCCCCCCCCCCCCCCCGAAAAAAAAATTAGTGGTCCTCCTCTCCAACACCCCCCCCCCCCACTTTAATATTCACCGGCCGGCTGAGTAGGTGCAAAAATGTTCCCCAAAAAACTGGACCCCCCCCCCAAAAAAAAAAATATATATGTGCTCTTACCCCCCCCCCCCCCCCCCCCCCACTAATTCGCCGTTCGCCGGCTGGCTGATTCGCCGCTAAATATTTTCTCAAGATTTGGGCCCCCCCTCTTGCCGCCGGCTGGATCCGCCCCTGCCTGGCATCTACTGACATCTATACTGTGTAGGTCTGGACACATGATGGCATTTTTCTATGCACATCACATTTTCACTTGGCAGCCCAAGGGGCAGGGGGGGGGGGGGGGGGGAGGGGGGTGGTAGGAGGGTTAAACCCCCTAAACCGTCTAGATCCGCCCCTGCAACATCTTTGGTCTTGTTCTTCTTCTCGATATTGATTTACTGGTCGAGGTACATAATTTGCTGGTCTTTTAGAATCACCAGATTTCACAGGATTCACACTTTTCACAACAAAAACTTCTGCATATTTCAGTCTTTGCGTGATCGTCTCCAGCTCCAGCAGATATTGGGCGTCAGCCTGCAAACCTGTACTACTGGCGCAGTATAGCCACTGCTGACGGCCGCACAATATAGTGCGAGCTTCCATTTTTTTGTATCGGTAATAGTCATAGAGATGGGAGAGCTAGCGCCAACTTAGTTCCATTTCATTGGTTTAAGGTTTGAAAATTGATACTCAATATTGTGTTAAAGTTATATCAGAAAAGATAATCTTTATCTTATAATTCCATGTGGGCGATTTTTAATTTTGCAATCGCCCCCGTGAGCAACCTGATGGGGGCGATTATGGAGCTCAAGGGGGCGAATCACCCACCGCCCCCGTGTATTTTGAGCGTTGGTCCTATCTGTGAAATTCAAACGTTAGCAGATCCTAATATTCAAATTATACAAGGAAACCCGTTTACTTGCTAGACTTCACTGTCAGACACTATTGAGTGAGTGACTGGCTTTTTTCTTCTTTGGTAATAACATTCATGAAATGAGTTGTAAAGGGTACATTACTACATGAGCATTTGTCTACATGTACATCAATAACCCACTTCTTGTGATGGCCAAAATTAAACTGATTGAATCTTTGTGCAGCATAAAACGTATGACCATTCGGTACAATGGTCTGAAAATCAAGACTATTACTTATTGTCTCTATAGCTCCTAAGTCGATTTGACAACTGATAGTCGTTATTTTCCGACTTGAAGACATTTTCAAGCCCCACCTTTTTTAGGGAAGTTCTAAATTAGTATTATCTTTCAAATGCCGTTGGAATTTAACCTTTTCATTTTTTTGGCCTGCAAATGTGACATAGTACCTTTAAACTATAGTTTTGAATCCTAGATTCCTCTCTTTTGCTGGAAAATTCTGTGTGAAAAGTTTTCAAAATAGACTGTATTCCTGATTTTACCTCGAGAGATTCCTAATATTTGCTGTGAAAGGTTGGCAGGTATGTTATAAGTGCTAATGCTCATACTAATATGTTTGCATGTGGTCCATTCAAGTACTACAAGGTGCCTGACACACATGATAACCTTGATAAAAATTCATATAATTTTGGTGGATTTTGGTAAGGCCCTACTTTCGTCATGGTCAACTACTACTACACAGTTTCAGTGTGAACTTGACCTATAATTTTACTTTTGTCAACATTGTTGAATCTTTTCAGCTTGTATCCTCCAATGCTACGACCCTACTTGCCACTCACGAGACACCGGAGAACCACTACTTTGATGACCTCAGCTTCCAGTTTACAAAGGGCTCTGAAACCTGTAAAGTTTATGTAAGTATCAAGGCCTCTAGGGAATAGAAAACATGCGGAAACATATGAAATTCAGCTAACATTTTTTTGTCTTCCATCTACTTTCATCTGTGGCAAGAATGAAAGAAACCACATTCACAAATTAAAATCATGTCTGTAATCATTGACAAATCTTTTATAGGGATTTTCAACTTCAGAAACATTGTATGCTGTGCTGGACAAATTAACTAATTTTTATATTTTTATAATAGATAATATACCAGTATCATGTCTCTAATCATTGTAATCTTTAATATAAATGTTCAAGCTCAGAAACATGGTATGCTGTGCTGGACAAATTAACTATCTTTTATATTTATAAAATAGATCATATATCAACATCATTTCTCTAATTATTGAAATCTTTAATAGGGATTTTCAACGTCAGAAACATGGTATGCCGTGCTGGACAAAGGAACCAACTACTGTAATCTTCACAACTTGATCACAGGTATGTTTTGTGTAGGGTCATTCATTGAGGTGGGGGGGGGGGGGGGCAAAAATATATAACGGTATGAGATCTTCTACTACACATGGAATATGAAATCATCTGTTGAGAATTTGTATGCAATAATAGTGCCCTACCAGAATAATTTTTGTGTCAGTTGCTTCTCTCATAATCTTTGCTAAATATGTGTTTCTTTAATCACCCGCTTTATGTGGACATCACATGTATAATGTTAAATTTTAATTTTTGGGTCTATCAGAGCTGCCAACCCTCCCGGATTTTTCGGGAGACTCCCTGAAATTCCACCAATCTCCCGATAGCCCAGAAAAGTTGGCTATGCTTTGAGCATAATGATAATAACAAACAACAACATGTCTTTTTTAACCAGGGTAACCTCATTAGTATTAAAGGAAACCAAAACCTTCATACTAAGTTACTTTTATTGTAAAATTTAAGATATTTGAAAAATATCAGTGAAAATTTGAACAAAATCGGGCAAGGAATAAGGAAGTAAGAGCTTTTTTAAATGACTAGTCACTAGAGGGCGGTATTCAATTTGATGACATCATCTGTGAACAACTCTTCATGCCTTTTGTACATCAAATTTCATGTTTTTCCTTCTTTCTTGTGATTGAGATAATGTACTCCCCTGAAAGCAAGATATAGAATGCAAAATGATATTCTACTTCACATGTTATGAAGTAGGATCAAGAACACAAATAAATACGAAGAAAACAAAAAAATTGTGAAATTTTATGTACAAAAGGCATGGAGAGTTGTTCACAGATGATGTCATCAAATTGAATACCGCCCTCTAGTGACTAGTCATTTCAAAATGCTCTAACTTTCTTATTCCTTGCCCGATTTTGTTCAAATTTTCACTGATTTTATTCAAATCTTTTAAACTTTACAATAAAAGTAACTTAGTATGAAGGTTTTGGTTTCCTTTAATACTGTTCTTCCTGAGGGCCCTGCCGTCATATTATTATCACAGCTTTAGCTGAGCTACCAGGACAAGGCACTCGAGCATTCAAAGAATATTTTCCTAGGCCCATTTTCTTCCTACATCGGGGTGAAGAGTGTAACAAATGTAGATAAATATTTTGCCAAAGGACCTTTAATGGTGCCTCAGCAGGGCTTGAACCATGAACCATGTGATTCACAGTCCAGCAACATATCCACTACACCGTGACACCTCTTAGTTGCTTACTTATCTTTGTGTTATGGGCCCTCTAATAATCGTCTTACTATCTATTCCTTTTTAAAAATTTTGTCTCAATTTATTAGGAAGCGGTTTGAACAATACACCTGGCTACAAAGAAACGACAACGGACAATATCTGTACTCAGTTCTCGTCTGCAGATTGTGATGTTTATTGAGGGACTCGCTAAATCACATATGTTCCTTCACATCAATTAAAAGCATAGAACACTGACCAGTCCAACTGAATAGAAGATGTCATCGAATATAAGGGTTTACATCTAGCAAATTATCTCCAAAATTTAATTTCACTGGTTTTTAATAAAAGATGCACCTATTTGCTGAATATAATCTTGCAAAGTACTAATCAGAGCACAAATCATGGGCATACATTGTCTGCATTTTTCAAAATTTCATACTTTTTATGTGTTTTGTTGTGCAAATTTCTTCCTTTTGCTGGGAAATTTTACCGTGCAAGGAAAGCAGCACCAAGTGATGTCATTAAATTATGTATGATTAGTCAATTCATATAGATCAAATATATAAGTAAGAGATATATACATGTAGATTTATTCCTTAAAGGTTTGACATATATGTATATGTATGCATTGATTGTAGCTATAATTCATGCTCAATTTCAAATGCAAAAAAATCTTGTTTTAAAAATTTGTGCAGTGATCTATGCCCGATACTCATTCTAATAAATAAATGTAGCAGTAAATGCTAGAAATATTATAGCAATTGCGAGCAAATACCAGCAATGTACAGTCAAATCCGTCGTAGTGACCACCTCTATATAAAGGCCACCTATGTAGTGGTCTCCTCCTCTCTAAGAGAAATGTGTGGAGTAAAATCTGTCTAGAAAGGCCACCTGTCTACAGTGGCCTCTATTGTTAACCTTGTATTGCCTTAAGGCTTTATAGACAGGTTTGACAATTTAAAATTTTCTAGTTGACTTGACATTTTGAATAGAGCAGATCTGGAATAGAGAAATAAGTTGTAATACTTTTTGTCAATTACTTATATTGAATATTTTTATCAAGGATTTCACTTGATAACATGTTTCTTTTTTTCCTCACTGAAATGCTAAGTACTTAAGATTGTTTATCAGAGATTGTACTTACATGTAGAATGTAACACTTGTTAGAGGTGCAGGGTCAGTTAATGAATTTAGCCTTCCAAATTTCAATACTTAATACATAATACATAATATACTGTCTGTAACATTTAGCAGAAACATAAGTGAATTTTAGTGTAAGAAAATATCAACTTCATTATGTAGTCTACTTGTGTTGTTTGTAATTCTTTTCATATAGTTTTATAACAAATAAAAGTAAATTCAGATTACCTAGATTAACTTGTCTCATATTTAAGGAAGTAAAACTTCATGCACACATAATAACTACATCATCATTTTATGATGCACAAGTTCTTGAGCGCGCTAATTTTCAATTTTTTAAGGACATGTTTTTTTTAAATACCGGTATTCATTTATTTGATTTTCATATTCTTGTTCATGTGAGCCTGTGCAAACAACATCTGAACTTTTACTAGATCCAGGCAATATAAATATGTTGTATTACACTGTATTTTATTATTATTATTATTATTTCCACTTTTTTTTAATTTTAAAAATCATAATAATATCAAAGTAATAATAATTATTAATATTATTATCACTATTGTCATGTATTTACATTTCGGTAGGTCAGAAATTACTTTATTAGGAGGAGTTGAGAGGTATGAACGGAATATGCAATGCATGTGTAGTGTAAATGTCATTAGAATTCATGAATATGTTTCTTATATTAAACATTTGGTACAATTAATAAAAACATTAAGAATTGCAGTTTGTTTCCTCTTTTCATTTATTGAGTTATACTGTACATTATCAATACCTACTACATGAAAAGTTAGCACTGAGAAAGGATCCATACTCATAAAACCATACTAATTAGCAACTAAATTCTGACTGGCTATGGCAGCCCAATTAGCAACTTGATAAGATTTCATGAATCTTCTTGATACATAATGCAATTGAGTCTTGTTTTGAGCTTAAATTTACCAATGGTTGATTGAAAAATACAAGGCATATTTAAAGAGCTTAATTCCAAAAGGAGCTAAATCCACTTTCGGTGAAAATATCAGAACATTGTTCACTTTAGTACCTGTCTTTCAACAAATTTATTTACCTAAATTTGGGGAGCAATTATGAAAAAATGCACTTTCTAATATCACTTTTCCGTATACGTCTGTACAAAATCTGGTAAACAATTTTGCTTTCTGAAGTTACAAAAATGGATTTAGCTCCTTATGGAATTAAGCTCTTCATTTGTCTATTGGAATAGCTGAACATTAAGTTTTCAAAATACCATATATTTCATATACCATCACATAAGACTAAATTATGATATTGATTATTTCATGTTGCAGCTCAGATTTAAACGTACCCTTCATTAAAGTATAGATCAGTTTATACCGTAGTACATTTCTATTACTCAGGCTAGCAAAATTCTTTACACTGAATGACCAAACAGATGATTTTCCTTTAAATCTAGTGTTCTCTATGATCGGTACATGTACATGCCCAATTATACTTGTATTTTTATATACATGTATTCATCAACATGTTCCTCATGCAAGATATGCATTAAAATGATTTAAAAAAAAAATCAGAATCATGATAAAGATTCTTCCCAAAAGTAAGTTACAATTATTAAACTGACATATCGTATGGGAAGAGATGGGACTTATTCTGGAATGTTTGAAATGCTTCATTCAACCTACAGAAGAATGGATTTGCTCTGACATTGGTAGTAATGTCTTATTTAGGGCGTTTCTTCTGTAGCCATCTGAAGGTCTTAAATCGATACTGAACTGATCAACTTTCTGGGTACTGCTTAGTGCACAGCGCCATCTCATTGTCAACTTGGCAACAGTACAAAATATAAAATTTCCACTTCGAACAAATAGGAAATGGAATCTTGAACGCGAGAACCATCAGCTCAGCTAGCCAGTTACAAGTAACTTACGGGATCATACTGCTACAGCTGACCAGAGGGGATTTTGCGGTAGTGCTTCTAGTAAAATATGGCTTTAATAGCGAAATTTCAGAACAAATATCCAGGGAGTTAATCAATCTACTGACATTGTAACATTTTGGGAATCAAAAGAATGCTGTTTGAAATTCCATTTCACTTTTGACATTGCTGGTTATGAAGAATTGTTGACCATTGCATACCTGCCAACATTTGAAAATGAGAATTAAGAATTTTTAGCGCGGTATGTCTTCGAAAATAAGAAATCTGTACACTCAACAGGCGTTCGCACATGCAGCGGCAGTTTTTAATCATGCAGCCCTTCAACGCACGCAATACGTGAACTCTAACATCGCGTCAAAGGATAAAACAAGCTTAATTTGGCTTAAGCAACACCAACAAAAAAAAAAAAAAAAAAAAAAAAAAAAAAAAAAAAAAAAAAAAAAAAAATCGAAATTTTGAGAAAAAAAACAGAATATTCCGGATTTTGGGGTCCTAAAAATCCAGAAAATGGAATATTCTGGATTATTCGGAAGGGTTGGCAGGTACGCTGAATTCAATTCGGTGTAGCGATTGTCCAACACAGCTCAGTTACGGCAACATTTGACATGCATAGATCAAACTATACACAGTACATGTACGGTACGCCTCGCCATCGCTGCCCCACTCCACTGGCACCGACTCACCTCCGGTACCGCACTGCAGCGTGCGTTCACTCTGTATACCATAGTCCCGACACACTTCTTCCAAATACTGGATTAGACAATTGAAAAGTTAGTACGGTACGGTAAACTCCATGAATCCATCAAGCAAGCGTATTCCTTGGGATTGGAAGACATTATAAGTAAAACTGACAAACTTTTTGCAAGTTTCCATTCACGATCACACGTCGAAGCTAACTCGTTCGCTCAAAATTTATCGCTGGTGAAGTGTGCATGTTCTGATCTTGTACATCGCTTGTATTGGTGTGTGTGTGTGTGTGTGTACGTGTATGGAGAGTACATGCCAGGCCAGACGCTACACACACACACACATAATGCTGATCTCTACGCTGTAGATCAGTGGCACAAATACGCTGCAAAATCGTCATTACAAGCCAAATGAGCTTCCGCGGCCATCAACACACACACAGTATACTATACGAGAGCTCTCACACAAATCGCGGCAAATGGTAATACAAGCCCAATTTGGCTTAAATTTCCAAAATGCGGAATCTCCCGCATTTTAAGGTCCTAAAATTCCAGAAATGCGGAATATCCCGGAAAATGCGGGAGGGTTGGCAGGTATGCCATTGTCATAGAAAAAAAATAAAATAAAAAAGGCTGTAAAATAATCAAAATCAAAATGATAATCATTGTAATTAAAATCAAATGGGAATAAGACGTCTCTTAAAGCAGGACTGCAGTACTTGAAGCTACTTGCACTCTCTATACAGCTAACAATGCCTAAGCAGTATACGTCGATCCCCCATGGTCCCATTTGTGTTGTGTTAATTGAGAGCTGACTTGATGAGATAACCACCTGCTATCGACCATGCAGGGAGGTCTAATCCCTCCTGGCCAAACTAGTGCAGATAGGCTTTAAACCCAGTAATATTAGGTTAAAAAGCAATGTACATAAGTCATGCATGTATGAGTTTTAAAGTCGTGGAAATGGGGAAATTCCTTTTGATATGAAACTGATGGAGGGTTATAATCTTGGTAAGAACAGGATAATTGCATCTTAGGTGAATACATGGAGGTCCTTCATCGACACATCTTGTCTCAGCAAACGGGCTCATCCTCTATGACGAATGGTCTACAATCCACTGTTAAAATGGGAAAGTTGATGATGTAAGGCCAACGGGTGCATGCTCAGAACTTCTGCCCTGAGGCTATAGGATAATTTGCAAACTGCGTGGGTACTCTATCACTCCCTACATGTACATGTAAATGGCATGCTTGTATGTACAAGCATTGTGCCATACAATACCAGGAAGATCTTTCCTGTAAAAACGGTACATGTATCATATAAATAGTCTTTTAGTTCTCCTTCACATGGTCTGTCCATGAAGCGTCTATAGTTCAAAAAGTGCCCATGGTCCGTGGAGGGGCTGTCCCTACAAGAGTGTGTCCTCGTTCCTGAGGTATTCCCCTATATCAGCTTGATGGAAGACTATGATGGACATGGGATCCGTGTGTCTGCATTCCTGAGTTGATTTCGCTGCAACACCAAAGCCCTACATGAAATGGAAACAGAAAAGCAATGAGAAATGAGAAAAGAGAATATTGGAAAAATTTGTTTCTACTCCTTCTTTCCTTGTCTTCTCTGTCTGTCTGTCTGTCTGTCTCTGTCTCTCTCTCCTGATCTCTCTTCTTTCCTCACATCTCTTCAATTTGTTTTCTCCCCCTCTCCCTTCTTTGCCCCCCCTCCCATCTCACACTTTCTCAGTTGGTTTTCTACATGTATATATTTGATTCTGTTTTCTACTCATTTTTTTCGGTTTACTCTTCTTCCTAAACCACCATCATCCTTCAAATAATATATCTCAACGTAGGCATACATCATTCTTTGTTTCCTACCACATCAAGTAAACATTATTTTTCATTTCCAGTCCATAATCTGAATTGTACAATTATTTTCCTATCTGCTGTTTGATACATTTTACAGTGCAATACTGTATTAAAAGCCAGATATATATGTAAGGGTAGTGAGTACCTAATGGATGTGAAAATAACAACTGTTCTAAGTCAGAAAGCCTTAAAACATGCAATGTCAGTAAAACCATCCCTGTAACATAACTAGCACTGACATATTAGACAGGCTTAATCAAAGGGATTGGGTAACTTTGTCTCAGTTCTGAAACAAAATCCTGGATCTAGCTGATGATGCAATGATAATTATTTACTTTTAAGTCAGTCAAGAACCCTATGACTGTTACAAGCCAATCGCCTGCCTGATTATCAAGATATTTCAAAATAAAATTTTGCATTTTCCTAACGGTTTTCATAACACTACAGTCTATTGGGGAAAACGAGTATGGGAAAACCGCTCACTCAAAGTTTTTTACTTTTTTGAAGCACTTTGTGATCATTTTGAAGCGCAATTTTTTAGGGCTTCAATATTACACCATATCACAGACACTGATAACACGTAGGGCTGTGCATCTCAGATTTAACATTGTTAAACAATGCCTTTAAGGTATATGTATAATCCTGCACATATTTCTACAGACGAGACTCACCAGAGGAGCGTCACTCATGGAGTAGATGACAACACCCTGGTACTTGTCAGTGTTCTCTGTAATCCTGCCAAGACCTGATTTCAGAACATGGTTGCCATAGAGAAACGATTGCTCTGCTCCTGGTTTCACCCAAACCTTGCACTGAAAAGGGAAAGCATACCAAACACAACTTTATAATAGTACCAAGGTCATTTTTTTTTTTTTTGGGGGGGGGGGGGGGTGGGGGGGGGGGGGGGGTTAATTGCCTTTTAATACTATATTTCTGAGACAGGCATAATTCAAATTCAAACATGAAAGTCCTTATTGGCTTTAAATAGGCAAAAATAATAAGATATAATCAAAGACTGTATATCTTTTTGGACTTCTCTTCTGCCCAATTTTAAAAGCATTTTGACATATCAAGAACGTTCCAACAAATTTCCATGTATAACAAAAAGAGTATTTAAAGAGGTTTAAACACATGCATGGATAAGAACCCAGCAGCATGTGGTCTGAAAATTCAACAACAAAAAAAAAACATTGGGTGGTATTCTCGAAAGCGGACTAACTTTACGCCATGGTTTAATCCAATAAGTATGGAATACCAAATGTCTATAGGAATATATTTTTGAATAATTTGATAAGCCCCTAAATTACCTTGATAACATAATTATATCATAGTTATATTGTTGCTTATTAACTATGTTATTACATTTTATTTTAATTTAGTGACAGATTAAATTATTCAAAAACATATTCATATAGACACTTGGCATTCCATACTTAGTGGATTAAACCATGGCGTAAAGTTAGTCCGCTTTCGAGAATACCACCCATCATTATCTTTGACACTTCAGTTGTTATTTGATCCTATGAATTCAATTTTGGCATGATCTCTTAATTACCTTTGTTACTGGTATCTTTCATGCCATCTTTTTTCTGCAATTGCAATTATTGCATATCCCTCAAGACTATTCCTTTCTTTCTTAATCTAGCGTTTTCACTTTAATTTGTACAACTAAAAAAAAAAACCCATAAATCTAGATAGAAACTCACCTTGGCATATGGTGCTAAATAATCCAGTGCTGTGATGTGAAGCCTAAATTTCTTGGTCTTGGAGAATTTGCCAAAGCACGTCCCAAAGCTGATGAGGTTATCCCTGACAACACTAGCAGCTCGCTTCATGATTTCCTCACTGCAAAACAACAATTCATATCAATTACTAAGCACAGGGGTCTGTCTTCCTTTCTCTTTTCAAAAACAGAGACAAGGGTAAAAGTTAAATAATAGATCCCAAACTATGATTCATTCATTGCTAACAAGTAACATTTTCTCAAAATGATACTGCCCTCCCTGAGCCACCACCTAGCCTAAATGAAATGAAAATGCGATGCACTTGTTAACGATCTTAACTATAATTACTTTCACTAATTTTCTGAATACAAATGTGTGTTAGCACTGACCCCCCTCCCCCCCTACCCCATCAATATTAAACAGAGCTTACACTATACTAACCCTGTAATTGATAATCGGATCGGGTGCATTTGGATTGTAATTTCTGATCGCTGATCAATAAAAATGATCGGAAAATGATTGGAAGAACAAAAAAGGCTGATAATTTTCAAGTTATGAGCTATCAAATACTAAAAAAACATGCATAGCTGGGATTATTTTGTCATTTGGAGTTGCTATTGATCGTAATTGATATTAAGTGCCCTTTCATGGCTTTGAATTAAATAATAGTAGTCTAAGAGGCAAGGCAAAACAACATGTGAGCTGTCATTTTGCCTCTCCTCTAATAGACTAATATTATTAATTTCAAAGTCATGAAACTTCTTACACAAGATATCTATTATACATACCTGACATAAAACACCCTATCTCTGTGATATCTGAAGCAGTACATTCCATCTGCCCTGTCAATTAAAAGCTTGATATTTTCACCAATGCTGTGGAAACAAAAAATAGTTGCAGGAACATTAGTAAACGGAATTCATGGTTTGATCTTGTGTCTTTTGTTTTCCTTGAGTTTTCTTTTGACTCGACTGGTCAACTTAACTGGGTAATGATAATGTGGTGTTTATTGTCACTGAGTGTCGACTCAGAGCTCCACTACCAAAATGCAGAGCTTTGGGGAAGCATTCTGAAACTCATTATACATGTATCTCTATAAATAATTGTTGAATCTTTGCTGTGAACATAAAGAGATGGTATTCTGAAAATTGTAACTTTTTTCTTAACTAGTTTCATTGTATCTTTCTGTCATCTCTTTGCCTGCACTCTAACTTTTGTGCGCTGAACTTGTGCATATTTAGTCTATATCAATGACAAGATGATTGGTATTCTGAGAATGTTTGTATCTTTTAATTTTTCTTATCTTGCAGCAGCATGGTAATGTATTTACAATAATGAATAGGGAGGGGTTTGTTGGATTTGTTGCAGCGATAAATGGTGGCAATCTTCCTTTCTTCTTCCTCCTCCTCCTCTTCCTCCTTCCCTCCTTCTTCTCCTTCTTCTTTTTCTTCTGCTTCTCCTTATTTTTCTTTTCTTTCTTCTTCACCTTCTTCACCTTCTTCACCTTCTTCTTCTTCTTCTCCTTCTGCTCCTCCTCCTTGAGTCATCCTTCCCCTTTCCTCCTCCTCCTTCTTCTTCTCCTTTTCCTTTTTCTTCTCCTTATTCTTCTTCTTTTTCTTCTTTTTCTTCTTCTTCTCCTTCTGCTCCTCCAGTCCTCCTCCTTGAGTCATCCTTCCCCCTCCTTCTTCTTCTTCTGCTCCTCCTCCTCGACTTGAGTCATCCTTCCCCTCTTCTTGACTTCTTCTTCTTCTTCTACTGCTCCTCCTCCTCGACTCAAGTCATCCTTCCCCTCTTCTTGACTTCTTCTTCTTCTTCTTCTTCTTCTTCTTCTTCTTCTTCTTCTTCTTCTTCTACTGCTCCTCCTCCCCGACTCAAGTCATCCTTCCCCTCTTCTTGACTTCTTCTTCTTCTTCTTCTTCTTCTTCTTCTTCTTCTTCTTCTTCTTGTCCTCCTCTTCTTCTTCTCCTCCTTCTTTTTCTTCGTTGTCTTCTTCTTTCTTCACCTTCTTCTTTTCCTTCTGCTCCTCCAGTCCTCCTCCTTGAGTCATCCTTCCCCCTCCTTCTTCTTCTTCTTCTCTTTCTTCTTCACCTTCTGCTCCTCCTCCTTGAGTCACCCTTCCCCTCTCCTTATTCTTCTCCTTATTCTTCTTGAGTCATCGTTCCCCTTTCCTCCTCATCATCATCCTTCTTCTTCTCCTTTTCCTTTTTCTTCTCTTTATTCTTCTTTCTTCACCTTCTTCTTCTTTTTCTTCCTCTCCTTCTGCTCCTCCAGTCCTCCTCCTTGAGTATTCTTCTTCTTCTTCTTCTTCTTCTTCTTCTTCTTCTTCTTCTTCTTCTTCTTCTAACTTCTTCTTCTCTTCTTCTTCTTCTTCTTCTTCTTCTTCTTCTTCTTCTTCTTCTTCTTCTTCTTCTTCTCCTCCTCCTCCTCCTCCTCCTCCTCCTCCTCCTCCTCTTCTTCTTCTCCTCCTTCTTCTTTTTCTTCGTTGTCTTCTTCTTTTTCTTCGTCGTCGCCATCGTCGTCTTCTTTAAAAAAAAAAAAAAAAAAAATTCTTCAACAACAACAAAACGTGACAACAAATTGAACGAATGGGACTGATCCTATTAAAATCTTTGATCACAATCGTTAACTTGAGGCATTCCCACACTTTACTCTAAGAAAAACAATACACAACTTACTATTTTGACAGTTTTTCAAACAACGTCCTGGTCTCCTCTTCCGTTAAAGGACGCATGATGGCAGAATATGAGAACAAATTACGCTGTTTGTCGTCAAATTTTGCACAGCACTGCACACTGTACTATCGCACATGTATGATAATGATGTAGGTAAGAAGACCTTTGACATTTGTGCCCATCGATTTCCGGGTCCAGCTCGTTGCCGTGCGACGTTTGCTTGTTTCCGGAAGTAAAGAGAGCATGCATAATGCCTAGCATTGCCGTGTATACATGCCATGCCAGCCAGCCTGGCCTGGCTACAAGATCATGATCAGGCAACAAAATGGAGAGAAAATGTCCTGGAAATACCAAAAAGTTGACGTTTCAAACATGATCCTCTTAAGAAGGTTAAGCGGCACAGCAACATCGCATATTTACAGTGGTAAGTTATGGTTAAAAGGTGTCTTTTTAACTTAATTCAGACGTCAGTGTAGATCTAACAGTTACTGATCTAGATCGAGTCAGATCGACTGACTCAGAGTCGGACTTAACAGTCGACTTAGATCTAGGCTAATTGTCTTGAGAAGTGAGACTGAATCTCAATTTGACGCTCAGTCTCAGTTTCAGTAGAGTCAGAGTCAGTGAGATGTGTGTGTGTGTGTGTATTGGGTTTTTACAGACGTGTATCAATCAGATATGATTATTTACGTCTGGGACCGACCTTTAAACGTCAACATCCGAAAGACGTGACTCAGTTTCGAACCTGCGTCCTCGGCTGAATCAGTTTGTAACTTCCACTTTTTAGCTGGATTACAGGCGCACGCCACAACGCCTAGTTGCTGGGAGCTGAGAGCGAGACTCAGTGAGAGTGAGACTTAGACGAAGAGAGATCGAGCTAGTTCATATAATCATAGAGTCTAGTTGTTGTTGTTTTAGCTGGCGTGTAGTCTATCAATCATGAATATTTACGAGAGACTTGTTGTTGTTTTACTATTTTTAGTTTTTATTGGCGTGTATCATTCATTTATGAATATTTACTGACGAAGTCTAGACTCTATAATATAGGCCTAGGGTCTATATCTAGACGTTGTGCATCCTGACACAAACTTGACAAAGGCGGACAGGTTGTCCTGACAATTGATTTTAGATGAATACTTTTTAGAAGTTTACACGCAACATTTTATAAATCTTTTAAGACTTATTAATATCATTTTTGTTTGACAATTAATTATGAAAGACAAATATTTATGATGGTTAGTGCTATTTGATGAATAAAGGCAAAGGTGGTGGCTTTATTTTTGTTTTGTAGCTTCCGGACGCACAATCCCCTGTAATATCTATAGGCTAGACATTTTACTACTATTATTAATAGAGCCTCCAAACTGCTACATGTATGTATGTTTATTAAGGCTACTAATTTCTAGATGGCTTTTAAACTAAATAAAACCCTCTACCCGTAGACCATATACAATGTATCTTTTTTGTTTCTTATGTAGAAATGACGGAACAAGCACAATAATGTCAGCAACTCTCGTCCAAGGGAACACAAACCTGGCCGGGCTCTCGGGGTCTAGGAGCTTGGGTGTCAATGTCATTGCCCCAGTCATGGCAGTGTCTGTGTGCCGTCCACCCGCCAGCAGCAATGGCATGCCATCCCGACGGGGAAGTGCCATTGGTCGCTCTCAGCTCCCAGCAAATAGCCTTCCAATTAATAACACCCACTTCAAGCTTCACAGCCAGGAGAGTCTACATGCAGCGAGCAGTCTGTCGTCATCGCTCCTTGTGCCTTATCCTCCAGTCGAAGACACCACCTGGGCATCAGACAGCAGGGAGGGCTTGACCCTTCCTAGGATAAGCAGTCCAGTGCAGCTTTGCAGTACGACCAACTCCCAGTCAAGCTTCATCACTACTATCGACGCCACAAGCGGGAAGGACGGAATTGTTGATGATGTGGATGCTCACCTTGAGAAATCCAACCCGCCGAGCATCTTCCCAAACTTCCGAGCCCTGCAACGTCTCGCCGTCAGCGCCAAGCTGAGGATCAACAATCTGAAATCAAAAGAGGCTAAGGCCATCACTGCTTTACTTAATCAAGAAAACCATAATAATCAGTCCCATTCTTGCCAGGATGACGTGATTCAAGTGAACAATGTTTTGAATTCGTCTTGGGAGTCACAAGATGATGATGATCTTACCCAGTATCCACACATCAACAACACAGATTCTGCTGTACATAGTGAAAAAGGTGAGCAAAGTTTTCTGTAGTGAAAGTTTTTCCAATTCCACTGAAATTGATCGAACATAGAATTGTTTCTTTTTTCGGTTGTAATGTTTTTCTTTAAGATCAAGTCATGCTGCTTTAATTTGCTACCATAATTTGCCCTGATACATTTATTTTGCAGTCTTTAAATCAACCCTGTAAGTTGGGGCTCTGATCGGATCGGAAGATCGGAGCGACACCCTTGCACCTTTGATCGGTATCGGATCTGAAGATCGACAGGCCGATTTTTTTTTTTTTTTTTTTTTTAATGACAAAATTTTTCAAGTTTTTGGCTATATCAAATGCTCAAACAAATTCATAGCTGGGATTATTTTGTCATTTGGAGTTGTTGTAGACCATGTTTGTTGATATTTAGTGCCTTTTTTTTCCCCGATCATTTTAATTGATCGGCAATCTGAAATTATTCTCCGATCACCCCTGATCGGATCGGTATCGGCGTCTGATCCGATGATCGTCTACAGGGTTACTTTAAATTTAGTATTTTATGGAAGATAATTTTAGCATACATGACCGATCTTATTTGCATCAATTACAATGACAAGTTTTTTGTTTTTTCCCCAGCCATTCAGATATAGCTATATTCTTCAAGAAGTTTGGAACCTCCTGCCTTCCTAATCAAGGGTCTTTCTGAAACTTTATCTTTCCATTGAGTCATTACCGGGATCCTTGATGCATGAATTATTACTATGTACTAATGATTTTGAAAAGAAAGTCCTCACAATTAAGTTTGAAAATTATCATGAACCTTATTAATATTTACTCCCCATTCCAGGTACTTCCAAATCAAAGACCAAGAAATTCTACAGAAGCAGATCAAGAAGGCGAGGGGGAAAAACTCCCTCGAAAAAGAAACACTCGCCCGCTCCGACGAAAGACCACAATTCCTTAGGAGATTTCAGTCTTGCTTCAACCATGACCCTCAACAGTCGCTGGGAAAGAAAAAAGGTGGAAACGTTCAGTACCAAGTTCAATAAGGGTTTTACTTCCAGAAAATCTAAAGTGAAAGACTCATCCAGTGGGACGTCCTCTCAAGTATCTTTGACGACAGTTGCTTTGGAGAAGAGAAGCAACGCAACAACACCCCGTGCAATCACAAAACAGAGCAGATCAGAGGCTTCCGATAGTATGCCAACACCCAGACAAGTTTTAGAACATGCAGCATCGGTTTATGGAAGTGGAAACCATATTCATGTGAGGCTGAGCAATAAATTCAGGTCGAGTGAATCGGAACGTTCGATGAAGAAAGTGTTTTTGTCAGAGAAACAGTCTAGTATGCTGAAGGATGGTGGGAAAGGTGTGCCCTGTGCCCCGCCCACTTCCCCCACCCCCCAACAGCTTGAGAAGTTTGAATATATAGCATCATTAACCGATCTAAGAGTGAGTATGATTCTGACCTCTGCTAAATTAATGTGTGCCATTGTATTTAGTTTTATTTAGAATGTTGAAAGCATACATCTAAGGTATACTTAAACAAGATCAAAACAAGAGGGGGGATAAAGATAATACTCTGAAAATAATATTTTAAAAAATAAAGAGGAGGAAAAATAAACATACTCCTTTAAAGAACTACTACCCCAAAGACAACTACATGTAGGCATTGGGATGTTGCTCTCTAGGACAATTACGGCCCAGCTAACTCCCCAAGGACGACTACATCTAGGATAACTACTGCCAGGGACAATACATGTATACCCCCCCCTCCCCCCTTCCCCCACCCTGACATATCCTATACCACTTATTTGTATTTTTTTAGTTTTTAATAAATTTACTCACACTCAGAAGACAAGCTTTAGGGGTACTATGGTAGGGGAGAGTTGAATAACAGTCAGGGTATAATTGTCTTTATTAGGGGGATTTTTTGTTGGGTAGATGTCATGATGTAGTTTTTCTTTTTTTTTCTTCTTTTTTTTAGGGTGGTGGTTTAATTTTCCTGGCATGTGGTCTAGAGGTTTCCTGAAATTCTGTGTTGGAAGGGGGAAGAGCAATTAAATATTTTTTTAATGATTGCATTGGCTACATTTGAATATAATCATGATGATTAATTGCACAACTTATACTCAAATGCATGTAACTAGAAAAATAGAAATCCAGCAGTGTAATACATAATACCAGTTCCTAATTTCATGTAACATACAAATAGCAAGTGAACAACTTATGTCATGGAATTAATGAGGACAATTTTCTTTTACGTACAGAGCCAGAGAGCACTGAAAGACAGGTTAAACGTGATCGGTGCAGAGGAGAAGAAAAAGAGCCAGAAGATCCGCGAGGACAAGGCGCGGCAGGAGAAGCAGTCGGCCCGCAACAATGTCGGTATGATGAGGCAGAGACAGAGGCAAGAGATCTACGCTCTCAACAAAGTCATGACAGAACTTGAGAACAGCCATTTCCAGAAGTTCTGTGAAGCCATGAACAAATAGTCTCAAGAGATTCATGGAAAAATGTTGTTACGGTAAAGAAGTATAGGCCTCCTGTACTTTGGTAGTTCAACGACAGGGTTGACCGAAAATATCGTGATTGAAACTCATTGTAAAGGAAATATCATGGTTGGGGAAAAATTGTGAAGTTGGAAGAAAAAAAAGCTGTAAGCTTAGAACAAATTCATATCAAATATATATATTCCAAAATCAGTTGTGATACATTATTTTTGCATGGTTTGAGAGTGAGAATATATCAGGGCAATAAAAATAACTTTTCAGTGCAGGTTGAATTACTTGTAAAGTTGGTTTAATCGAAAGGTAATATTTTACAAAAAAGTATAAAAGCTTTGTGTATGACTAATAACTATGAGTGAAATGCAAAACTGTAGTCAGTTGTGTTCCTTGTAAACTGCCACAGAGTTATGTCTGATCGCAAAGCCTTTGCAAGCTATGGGTACCGGTAGGAAGGAATTCCTAGAATGCTGTGAGTACCGAAATAGGTAGTCTAGCGGAGCAGGGGTAATATTGTAGCGCCTTGAACACCTTGCATGGTGGATATGTGTGCTACAAAAATGTTACATTTTTAATATTATCATCGCTCAAACACCCAATTGGTCCCCTGCCAATGCTGACTTGATTGGCATATATACCGTATGTGCTATTAAAATGTTGCTGCATTGTTTTATGTTACAGTTTTATAGCGGCTTTGAATGTGTCTCATCAAAAGCAGGAAAGCGTTGTTTTAATTATGTCTACTCCCTTTTATTTTATTTATTTATTTATTTTATTTTATTTTATTTTTTTGGGGGGGGGGGGGGGTGTTAACAACCTTAACAAAAATTAAAATACCTCCTTTATGATATCTTAAATCTTTGGAAGTAAAAATATTTGAAGGAAGATTCAAAATAGACAAAATCTATACCTTAGTATTTTATCATATTGGGATGAGGGGCATCAACCCTGTTGGATCTAGAGGTAGAAACATTCACATATATTACAAATGAATTTGATGATCGACACATCCACAAAATTATTAACATGTAGTTGCATATCTTGGCATGCTGGGCTTGTAGTAACAAGACTAAATCTTAGCAATGCAAAACTTTGATGAGTTCAGAAAGTTTAATATGAGTGGTTTATGTTTATTACAGTGGGTTGAAAACAAGAAATTATATAATAACACATTTCAAGGAATATTTGTTATGTGCTTTTATATTTATTATTGCTTTTGTTCATTTTTTTTTTGGTAGTCATTCAAAATAACAATAATTGTTACCATGCATGTATAAGTGTGTTAGTTCAAAAAGAGATGTTTTCCATCATGTTCAAGCCCTCATGAAATCAGAAAGGAGAATTTAATCGTCAGGTTTTGAAATTGTGGGAAAATATGATTAGGTATTTCTGCCATTTAATATATTTTTTGAGGTAAAAGTACTAATTTTGCAATCATGGAATGTAATATACAGTATATGTTTGCAGAAGGTGAACCCATTTAGTTAATATGAAATACAATTAGGAATTGATAAGATCAAAACATGGAGACTGTTGGTTTAGTGTCCATATTAAAGAGAGATATTGATATGGAATTTGCAATAAGAAGTGTGATGCTTTGATTTATCTATACCAGTGCCAATTGTTTTGTGTTAATTGCTAATAAGCTAGAACTTAAAAGGAATGTTGTGATTGTCTCATCATGTTGAAAGTAAAAACCTTATATATTAATATTAATGAAAAGGCTTTTAAAATTATGTGTTTTGGTTTTTATAGTAATTAAGAATAGAGCCTACATGTAAAGATGTTTTTAAAATGTTTTAAAGATGTATTTGTGATGCTGTTTGATATGTTAGCATGTGGTGACCAAATACTTATTTTTTCCAATTTTTTTGCAGAGTACACATTTTGCAACCAAATTTGTGATCATGTTATATCTGTGTGAATATTTCATTACCAGTCAGTCTTTCCAATAATGTTTTATATGTGTGATGAATTTCGACATATGATCAACTGGCCATCATCCGTCCATTTTTTTATCAGGGCCTTTTTTCAACCTGTGGCAGTCTATTATGTTCCAATAATCGACCAAAGTGGATTAAGAATTCATCAAGAATATATGAAAAATGGCTTATTTACCATTGTCCGTCCATATCTTTCATTTCTTTTTCTTCCTATTGAATGGCAGAGTGGAGAGTTGGGACATAAAGGATTAAGATATATAATAATTTTATATGAATATATTCTAGGTCAACTTTTTGGACCAAATTCTTTTTTTGAAATAATGTCATCCATTAAACAGTTCTTTCAAATTAAGTGAATCATGTGAGTTCAAATATATATAATAAATACTTGTATAAATAAATATAATAAATACATGTATACGGTAAATAAATATAATAAATACTTGTACCGGTATAAATAAATGTAAGTTTATCAATATTAAAATATAACTATTTGTGTATTTTATTAGTGACTCATTGTGATGTTTTATTTTTTTTTCTTCTGAAAGCTTGAAGTTCACCCCTCTTTTCTCTCTCCCTCTACCCCCTCTCTCTCCCCGTCCCTCTCTACCTACCAACCTATCTACATGTACCTACCCATTTATTGTTATCCCTTTTCTCTCCAGGGGGATGTTTCACAAAGTCGAACTCAACTCTATAAGTTGGACTTAAATGTTATGGAGAGCCATTTGTAGCCTTAAAATGAAATATATTCATAAGCGAAAATTCAAGTGCTTTAGACTTGTCATAAATTCCACATCAAGAACATTAAATCTCCCAATATGATAGAAAATATGAATGATCTGAATCAACATTTTATGCCTTTTAAAATAACTTTTACCAAATACGTTCAAGGATGCTAATGGCTTTCCATAATTGTTAAGTCCAACTTAGAATCTTTGTGATACACCCCCCAAATCTATTAACCTCTCTCCTTTATAAGTATCCAACATATAGGCTTTAATTATACAAATGACAAGCAAGTTACAACTGATGTAATTGTAATTTATGTATTACTGTTTGCAAAAATATAACTTCTTTGGCATCATGAAAAAATATAATAATCAATCGATATATTCCAAGAGATTAAGTAGAGGAATAACAATAAACAGTTTTAACAATTATACATGAAGGCAGAAGCCCAATAAAGAGGAATCTTGTTTAACTAGAGCAGTATTCTGAGGACTATTTTGTATTAAAAATTTATATTAAAAAATGCTCTTTTGGAAATGCAGCTCCAGATAACATGTCTGGAACTTTAATCCTCTGCATACATCTACACAGTTTCAGAATACCTAAAAATCTTTTTACAAAGGCATAGTTTTCAGAATACTGCTCCTGTTCATAAATTGTTTAATTGCAAATTGCATATATAGGGTCTACTGACCGCTGCTATGTTGGGCAAGCATCTGGCAACCTATAAAGTTGTCAAACTGCTATAAGTGCAAACTGGGTGTCATAAGATGTTACATGTACTTAAATGGAAGTTCTTAGTGTAACACATTTGTGGTGTTCCACTCATTATTTTTAAGGCCATGACCTAGTAATTGTTAGTAACTTTTCAGGTTCATCACAGTAAAATTTAAAGAAATAAAAAATCACCATTATAGACTAATCTTAAATTTTGTCTAATATTGATCAAAATATTTCAAATCATGGATCTCCATTTTGTTTAAAACATGAAACCCATACAAATTTGGAATGATACTGCATAATTCTATCTACATATTTTTAAATAGTACTTTCAATTTGCATAATAATTCATATTGCTGTAATCCAGTACCGGTAGTCCTGATATTGACAATAAAAAAATATTATAAAAGTACATTTGCAACCACATATCACGTGATTGCATAGATGACATATCTGTTATATACAGCGCATTAACAAAAAAAATAACTAGGCAGATCTTAGCATATTGAAATATATATATCAAAACATTTAAAAGAAGTATTTTCTTCAAAAAAGACAAAAATTATACAACGGTAAAATACCATAATGTAAATCAACATTCTCAAATCTAAAATCGTTCTGTTACCAGAACTGTTCGCTGGTATAATTTCTTCTATAATTCAATGATAATTTCAATGTTACAGTGTATCATTAACATGTACCCAATGAATATGTGTAAAGTAATGGGTCATTTCATGCAGGGATTATTTAATTACATATTCGTCTTTCACTTCTTCCTCTAAAATGAGTTCAGGGCATCGTTTCATGAAACCGTCATAAATACAAGTTCACTGATATCCCATTGAAATGTGTGTTAAATCTAATTCACTCATTTAAATACATGTAGGTTGTTGTAGGAAAATAATATATAGCACACAATTATACATTTATATTTTAAGTAGACTATTATATGGCACATAATATTATAAAGGATATAGGAAATTTAGCAAGATATTGAAGTGGAGTTGACGCAATCTTTACTCAAGTACTGGACTTCTCGTTGATCTATGATGAAGTTCTTCTTCCTTTTCCTCCAAGAATTCCTCTGTAAGATTGTGCCTGGTGATGATTCCCAAGATCTAAAACAGAAATATAGCAGAAATCGTTTGAGCTGACAGAGCAAATCAAGTAAATAATTTAGAAATATAGACTAGAAAGGGGTAGATCATCAACATTATATCCTAATCGATATCTAAATCATAATCATCATCATCACCAACATCAAAATCATCATCATCATCAACATCATCATCAAGATCATCATTATCAAAATCATCATCATCAAGATCATCATCATCAAGATCATCACCACCACCACCACCATCATCATCACCATCATCATTGTCAACATAATTATCATCATCACCACCATCACCATCATTATGACTATATCATCAACATCATCATCATCATCATCATCAACATCATCACCATCAACATCACCATCATCATCCTTACCCCCATCATCATCTTCATCATCATCATCATCATCATCATCATCATCATCATCATCATCATCATCATCATCCTCATCCTCATCATAATCATCATCACCACCACCAGCCTCCTCCTCCTCCTCATCATTATAGTGATCACTTCTTTCTGATCTCACCAAACTCACAAAGAAGGGGGGTAAATCAGTGTCACTATCAAATTCATCATCACCACCACCATCATCATCACCACCATCATCATCATCATCATCATCAACACCATACTCCTCCTCCTCCTCTTCCTCCTCCTCTTTATTCTTTCTTTCTGATCTCACCTCTCCAAAGCAGTTGACGACGGGCAGGTGTCTCAGTCCCATGGTGCGGAAGAGATTGAAGACCTTGGGGGCGGGTGTGTCCGGGTAAACGGTGTACGGGCACGTCGTCATGTACTTGCTGACATCCTAAAAATAGGAGTGACCCAGGTAGAAATAGGAGTGACCCAGGTAGAAATAGGAGTCACCCAGGTAGAAATAGGAGTGACCCAGGTAGAAATAGGAGTGACCCAGGTAGAAATAGGAGTGACCCAGGTAGAAATAGGAGTGACCCAGGTAGAAATAGGAGTGACCCAGGTAGAAATAGGAGTCACCCAGGTAGAAATAGGAGTGACCCAGGTAGAAATAGGAGTGACCCAGGTAGAAATAGGAGTGACCCAGGTAGAAATAGGAGTGACCCAGGTAGAAATAGGAGTGACCCAGGTAGAAATAGGAGTGACCCAGGTAGAAATAGGAGTGACCCAGGTAGAAATAGGAGTGACCCAGGTAGAAACTTGGATTACATTGAAGAATCATCTCCTGAGTAGCCAATAGGGTACAAACTAATTATTCATCCTTTTAATGTCTATCTGTACTACTTTACAGAAGGGATTAGACCACCCTGCATGGTCACTGACAGGTGGTTATCTCATCAAATCAGTTCTCACTTAACATAAGAAAAAGAGGATCATGGGGACCAATTGTCACTGATAAGGCATTGTTTGCTATATAGAGGGCACAAGTAGCTATAAGTAGTGCAGTGGGGCTTTAAATCCCTCTTCTTGATCTACATCAAACAGTTCGTCTGCTATCTGAAATTCTAAATGGTCCAATAATCACATAATCATCATCAAATGATTGGTAGACCTTATGGATGGTAGATGAAATGGGCATTAGACAAACTGGGAATTAGATTGTCTGGTGAATAGACTGACTGGTTATTTGGCTAAATGGACAATAGACCAAATGGGTAGGAGACTAATGGGGGATTAGACCAAATGGAAATTAGATCAAATGATTATGATACCATGTGGATAGTAATAATAATAATAATATTCCGTGTTTATATAGCGCTCAATACATTGATCCAACAATGTGCCTAAGCGCTTTACAGATATATTATTACCCCGGTCATCGGATTCAGGCTTACCCGCACACAATGTATGCACATTTTCCACTCCCTGGGGAGCATTCCAGCCAGTCGCCATTTTACAAGCGCACACTTGCTCGTCCAACCACATGAACTTTCGAATCCTACCGGGTACCCATTTAACACCTGGGTGGAGAGTAGCAAGTGCAGGTAAATATCTTGCCAAAGGATATTAGTGCAGTGTCGGGATTCGAACCCTCGACCTTCGCATCTCCAGTCAAGCGCCTTGAACCACTTGACCACGACACTCCCAAACTGGTTGTAGACCAAATGGCAATAAACTGTACTTACCACTATCTTGTTTGCATTGATGTTAGTGACATCAATGTCGTAGATGTCTAAATATCTTGGGTACCTGGCTACCATATCTTCATAGGTAACGTGAGGCTGGCATGAACTCTGTGAAACAAAAAGAAAGATAATAAATACATATCAAATTAGGAACGAAACTATCCATGATGGAATACATGTGCGAATGCGTTAATGAACGACTAATCCTGGGTTTTAACTTAATCACAATAAACCATGTGATCCACAGTCTGGTGATCCGCTAGACCATGAAATTTCTCGGTAACATCTAAAACTAAAATAACATTAAAAAATATACTTACAGAGACATTTTCAGGATAGCACGCCCCATGCTGCAGGAGGGTCACCAAGTGGTCTCGGAGTAGAAGACCATGGAAGGTCAAAGGTCGATATTCATCCTGGAAAACCTGATCATTCTCAGCAGCAGATCCAGGATTAGAGTCCTCAGTGGGTTGATCAGAGGTAGAGCTGGTAGAGGTAGATCAGAGAATGAATTCATTCATTGCCAGTAGTCTTAATGCAGGAGTCATAATTTTCTTATTAATTATCCGATTTTGCTCAAACTTTTTTTGATTGGTTTTTCTGAATTTTCTGCTTCTATTGAAAGTAATTTATTTTTGGAGTGGATTTTTACTCTAATAGTACCAATTTGGTTTCATCAAGAAAATGGCCTATTGCATGATCTACTATATACCTACCTAGGAGTGGCATCACCTGATTCTGAGTGAAACCGTCGTCTTCCAGAGGTCACAGAGAGTTCATTGGTCTGAGGGACGCCACTCATGAGGACAGACTGGCCCCTCAGCTTCCTTTCTCCCGCCCTCGTCAGAGTTGCATTCTGGGAATAAAAGTGACAACAATGACACGTATTACACAGGATCAATCTAAGGGTGTTTTATCCAATACATACTACTGACTACATCAAAGCTTGGTAAATTTAACTAGGAAAATTAAAATTTATTTTAATAAAAACCTTTGATTTCATTTTCATCTCAAATACCTATTGCAATCATATGCCTTTTTCTAAACATCAAAAAACAAAGTTGGTAGAGCAAAAGGACCCAGCCTGCATATAAATCCATAAATATATAAATCCCACACATTTTCCAGCATGCAGTGTCTAAAATCAGGAATATTAACTTACTCAAGAAATAATACAAACTTGGTCAATTTAATTGGAAACTTAAAATTCATTTAAAAAAAACATTTAATTTCTATTTCAATCTCAAATACCTATTGCAATCTTATGCCTTTTTCCAAATATCACAGAACGAAATTGGCAGAGCAAAGAGGATCGAACATGCATAACGTACCTTGAACATCATGTTCCTGCTCGTCACTGCATCAGCTGACCTCTTGACCTTTAGCCTGGGTGCTGTTTCCGTGACGACAGGGAAGGCATGATGGGTGGTGGTTCGTAGGATATTGATCAGTGAGTGGACGCGGGTGTGGGGGTAGATGTAGACCAGGTCAGGCTCCATGACATCATGGGCGCGAAGTCTATGGAAAAAAAATTATCATAAAACATGGTAGTGGAAGTGTTGAGATCTAGTGGATAAGGCACCAGAATAGTGGATTTAAGTACTGCAGGGCACAGGAACGCTCTTTGGCAGGACGTTTATCTATATTTGCCAAACATGACCCAGGTGTTGACACAGAGAGAGAGAGAGAGAGAGAGAGAGAGAAACGTAGACCAAGTCTGGCTCCATGACATCATGGGCGCGAAGTCTATGGTAAAAAAATTATCATAAAACATGGTAGTGGAAGTGTTGAGGTCTAGTAAATCATACCTGCCAACCTTTCACACTGAGCAAAAGTTAAGAATTTCTCTGAAGGCAAAATTTAGGGGTATATACAGTCTATTTTGTTTACTTTTCACAAAGAATATTTCAGAAAAAGAGAGGAATCAAGGGTTCAAAACAGTCAGTAGCTTGAGGACCAAAAAATGGAATCATTTCCCCAAACTGATAGGAATGGTTGGCAGCTATCATGAGTCACTAGAATAGTGGATTTGGAGGTTTGGGGTTTGTATCGCGGGGCACATGTGTCATGTACGACCTTTGGCAGGACATTTATTACCTACATTTGCAATACATGACCCAGGTGTGGACAAAGAGAGGGACAGAGAGGAAAAGAAAGAGAGAGAGAGAGATGAAGAGAGAGAAAAAGCTTCAGTCAAACTGTCAGGGGTATAATATCTACTGGTAATCAGAAATCAATGTACTGACATTTGGTTATAATTATTATTGAAAAAAACATTTTCAATTCATTGCTTTTCCATCTGAATGCTGTTTTCTTCTTAGGAGTTAGAGCATTCCTTTTAACAACTGTTTTCTCTCTAAAAAAATGTTTAGATAGGGGTGCACATTTCCGATAATGAGATTGTATTTAAAAAGCTGAATTACCTTTCAATTTTTCTGTTGGTCTCCCATTCTAGGAGTGGCACCCCTCTGAGCTTGATATGGATGTCATAGAGACCTTGGTTGAAGAGATCCCCTGACCACTTGGCAACCTGATAAAACAATGAAAAAGATGGAACAAGTTAATTTTATCCATTATAATAATAATAACAATATATCAAATTTATATAGCGCTTAATACAAAGTTTCAAAGCGCTTAAATTGAATCCATTAATTGAATTATCTTGTATATCCTGATGCCTTTCTCCTCAAAGATAAAGATAGGTTCTGTTATTATATGATTGTTGTGAAAATGTCTGGAAGCAATAAGCCAGTTCACGGTTGCAGTCTGGGCATGCTGAGCAGATAAAGGTCACTGCAGACCAATTTTTGAAATACACGGGGACAAAATTCTGGATACCTGCTCATGAAAGTTATGTAATCATTATGCATATATGCACAAGCAGTGCACTCCATGATACACAAGTGGAAGCATTCATTGAAAAGGGGAAACAAAGGCTATTTATGTAGCACCTCCATCGCTGTAGGAGTGATTATTTCAAAATGTACAAAGTAGGACCTCTTCATGTTTTGAAGATCTATGGATATTCGGGGTCATTTGGGACATGTGCTTACTGTGAACTGGTCTATTGGGAAAGCTGCTTGCTCATGTAGTATAATAAGGTTTTGGAAATATGTTCAATTAATGAAAAGAAATCAAAATGCACTGCACTCAAAAATGTGGCATGATGGAGAGTTTGGTCTAATTTCTATTTCTTGTTATGTTATGGTTATGAGTGCATTTGAACAACAATCTCCTTCATGGGGACATTTCTACTACAATATTCTAAACTGATATTCAAAGAATTAGAAAGCTCAATTTTTTTTTTTTTTTTAAACACCAGAACTACACTTTCTCCCTAACATCTGCATGCTTAATCTTGATAAACTTCAAATGCTGCATAGGCCTGTCCTCATCAGCTCAAGTTTGCCAAATAACCTACTATTCTCAGACTCGGGATATTATCCTGAAGCTAAAAATTGCGTCTTCACCAGACTGATACGCTCACCACAAACTAGCTCGGATAGGCGCCAATTAGCCTGCTTTTTCCAAAATATCCCGCTATTCTGGAAACAAGACTTATATTTCTCGGGATATTTTCTCGACCATATATCCCGCTAATTGCAACTGCGGACTGACGCTAATTAACTTATTAATTTGCGATCGGGAAAGTTAAAATAGCAGGTTATTTGGCAAATTAAACTGGAGCTGATGAGGACAGGCCTTGCGCTTCAGCTATTATAAGCACCAATAGACAGACAACAACCTGACCATAGCATTAATTCTCACCATGAGTGTGACCATGATTGGAAGACCATAGCTGATCTCATTGGTAGACTCAATCATGATGACCGTTAGGCTGATCGTCATACGAACCACACCCCCGAGGAAAGCCGCAGACCCAACCAGTGCAAAGGTTCCCGAGTAGATCCTTGTGTAGGATAAGTAACTGCAACGGAAGAAACACATTATTGTTGCCGATTTGAAGAACAGTCTGTAATAGTCCAAAAAGATCCCTGTCCTGAAAGGAGGGTTAAAACACCAATGTACTTTTCTTTCAGCTGCCTTTGGGTCACCTATAGGAGGCGTTCTGTTCAGCTTAGAAGAACTGTTCATCACCAATTTAGAGTGAAAATCTTAGTCATGAGATGCCTGAAATAGAATATGTTCTCTTTGCCAAGAATAGTGCCATATTATCTTTCTGTCTACAATGCAACTTTCTTTCTTTCTTTTTATCCTTCTCACTTCATCCACTATTTTCAAAAAGATATATTGTCATTATTTCTAGGGAAATTAAACTTCAGTTCTCCATTATCTCAACCGTTGCCCGGAGTTTGTATTTTTTCTTAGACAAGGCACTTATGTGCAGTTGTCTCTCTGGAGCTAGGTATACTATTAAAATGGGGACATGGTATGTTCTAAATTATAGGAGAATCAAGACCATTGACATGATTCGATAGAGTCAAGTTTTTTCAAGCTCTCCAAGAAGCCTCTAGCTAGCGTTACTCTGACCCTAGTGTTGTTCAGTTAAGTTTCAAGTGAGTTACCTTTTCAATGCATTTCCTACAAAGCGCCCATAGGCAGCTCCGCACAGCAAGCAAGGTACAAATAGTCCACTGGGTACTGCTGATCCGTACGTCCAACAGGACAGGAAGAAGAAATACATGAAGAACAGCCCGAGGGACTGAAGGCTAAAAGTACCTAGGAAGGAAGATGGAGAGAAGAAAGAGATTTGGTTACTTTTATACAGCAAGGTACAACTACGATAGACCACAGGGAAAGGCCGATTGTACGTCAAACAGCATAGGAAGAAGAAATACATGAAGAACAGCCCGAGGGACTGAAGGCTAAAAGTACCTAGGAAGGAAAATGGAGAGAAGAAAGAGATTTGGTTACTTTTATACAGCAAGGTACAACTACGGTAGACCACAGGGAAAGGCCGATTGTACGTCAAACAGCATAGGAAGAAGAAATACATGAAGAACACGGCCGTTAGATGGTAAAACGCTCTAACTCGAAAATCGCAGTTCTGAGAAAAATGACTTTGAAGTTTAGAGGTTTCAGCTTTTTTAGGAGATGGGTATAATCCATTTTTAGCAATGGGACAAGAAGAAGCATATTAAACACTGATAACTGAAGAATTTTGTGCTTATTTGGGGTTTTAATCATAACATAAATGAGATTTTTGTGCAGATAGACTGTTTAACCACAGCACATGAATACACTCCCACTACACATCATAAAGGTAAAATGGTCTATCTTCTAGACAGACCATAAACACTATTGCCATACTACTAACTCGAAGATAGACCATTTTACCATCTGACAGCGATGATTAAAAAATCTCAATTCAGAAGGTTAAAAGGTTTATGTAACCTTGTAGCTCGTTTTACCCCCAAACGATATTACCGGCAATGGGCTAATTCAGAGATAGACCGTTTTACCATCAAATCTGAAGGAAAAATACAAAAAAGTACCAAGATAGCGGAAATTATCTTTAAAAGAAGACATGATGGGATTTTCTTGATAGCCCCATTGGAAATAGCGCCCTCACATTACCCGGAAAGTGAATTTACCTCAAAAAGTCAAAATTTCGAGTTAGACCGTTTTACAATCTGACGGCCGAACAGCCCAAGGGACTGAAGGCTAAAAGTACCTAGGAAGGAAGATAGAGGCAACAACAGAGACTTGATTACTTTGTCTTCTTCTTCTTCTTCTTTGGGTTAAGTCTACCTCCTTCACAGTTGAGGATTCTTGCAGACCGATTAGTGTGTGTGTGCTTACGAGAGCCAGGTGCATGGTGCAATGGTATTAACATGGTGCAATTAAATAAAAAGTTCCAGGACTTAGTTGCGGCCTCCCGTCAGGCATTGACGGATGTGGCACAACCTGTTCCTGATGGCAGGTTATTCCACCTCCTCACAGTCCTGGGAAAGAAGGACTGCTTATGTTGCTCAGTTCTTGAACGGGGGACTTGCATGGTAGCTATGTGCATGGGAAGCAAGGAAGGCACAAATAGACGACAGGTATTTTTTTAGGTAGACTGCTTCTCATTTCCTTTCAGGCAGAGCCCCAGTAAGAGTTTGTTTTCACTATTAAATCAGATGATGTAAGTACAGCTACAATCCAATACAATAATCTCTCACGCGGAGCTGCAAGGCTCTGTCCAAGTTTTAACGAGAGAAACAAAATGGGGGTCGTGATACCCCACCTGAATTACATTGGTTCCTGTGTTATAGTGGTGGGGTATATTTTTAACGAGAGCTTTTCGTAATGTAGACGTACCCTCCTGGTGGAAGAGTTGCTTGATGGCTTCCTCCTGGGGGTTGAAGAAGAGGGTGGCCATGTCATTGTAATAACCTTCAGGGCAGAAATAAGTCCTCACAGAGGAGCCGATCTCAGCAGGTGATGTCGAATTCTAGATTCAGAAAAAAAACAAGAGAAAAACGAAATGAAAAGAAAAAAAAGTGACAATATTCACTTCCAATATCCACAAACTATCTGCCATATCTAAATGACTCCTTCTACAACTCCAACCCCCCCCCCCCTCCAATTTTTTTCTTCTTATTTACGTTATAATCACAAAGAATTTAAAGGCCCACTGCACTACTTGTAGCTACTTGCGCCCTCTATATAACAAACAATGACTAATCGGTGTCCATTGGTCCCTCATAATCCTCTTTTTCTTATGTTAACTGAGAGCTGAGTTGATGAGATAACCACCTGTCCAGTGACCTTGCAGGGCAGTCTAATCCCTCCTATAAACTATGGCAGATAAGCTTTAAAAGATATAAACCTAGGGAATTTCAATAGCATCGTGCACCAGAGTGTATAAGAGTTTGCGAACGCACCATGTAAGGGTAGCCCTGAAGTGAACTGTTTAGGTATTCTTTCAGTAAAAGTTCTGAAAAGAACTGTCATTTCGGATCATCCATCAAAAAGTGCGAACGTGAAGGTGACATACATGTACCTCATTCGAGCATGGGATATTCTATGAGGCATTGAAATTGCCCGAGTTAATTCTCAAAAGTTGTTGCCATATATAGTGCTTTCATCGTGTATAAACCCAGGTCTGAATCCCCGAAGGACATATATTTTTACCCAAGTTTCACACCAACATAAATATTCATGTCTAATGAATGGCCGCTATATATGCATGTACAGGCTTATTAAAAATTCAATTCCATGATTTAAACCATCTTTCATATTTAAACCTTCTAAAATTTCAGTTGGAAATTATTTTTTTTAGAAATTGACAGAAACTTTCTTGTCCATCTACCACTGGCATTCAGATCATTAGCATGAAAAGTAGTCTCCCCATTCAATATCCATTTTGTCTGTCTGTGTGTGCCTCTCTCTGTCTCTCCCTCCCTCCTTTTCTCCCTCTTTCTCCTTCTCCACCCCCTCCCTCTCTCTTTCTATATCTTTCATATCTGTCCATGCTCTGTTTCGGTTCTTCTTTCCTTTCGTTTTTCTCATAATAAATAAAAACAACGAATACAGTGGAATAAAATTGCAGTTATCATTTAAGTGAGTTCATAAATCTCCGTAAAAAACACAATCTCCCTGTGCTACCGTATTCACCTACCGATGCTGGAAGCAGCTTACACTGTCCCATCGTCATGGCAGCAAGAAAAGCGACAAGAGTTGTAACCAAGGCAACAAGGACTGCCTCCAAAACCCTGTTGCAGGGGAGAATATAAAATGTTCATAAAACTTGTGAATTAAAACCATATAGAAATTTGTAAAAAAGAAAAAAAAGAAAAGAAACAGGCAATACTCAATAAAAGCACTAATTATATTTGATCATAACTGTATTTATAATGCTTTTCTATCTGTACATATTTCCTTCATGGTTTAAAAATAGGTCTGAGAGTGAACATAATGATGGAATTTAGTGAATACTAAAAATCTGTACCATGTATGGTCCTCAGTGGTGATTATTCCCCATTTAGTTCAACTTCAAAAAGGGGTTCCTACACTGTTTGGCTTGAGGTGTAAGAATTATTTCATGTCTATATATTGCATAAAATATGACATTTTTTAGAGTGCTCAACTGCCTACGACATGGTAATACCCTAGTCACATCAACAAGACCGACGCGAGACCAAACAAAAATATTATATATTACATCTAGGGTCAAGAATTAGTCAATTTGGAGTCGGTCTAAAGTCAGTTTGGCGGTGTGACTAAGGTTTGAGGGTTTACACATGCAAAGGATTATTACTGATTTTATAGAAAGATTTTTTTTTACTGAAAGCAATATAATCGCCCATAAGATAACAGTCTCTATTTTCTTTTTGGAGTTTGGATAACACTGTAAAGATATCATTGATGAATATTCCAACCGACTGATTAGGCGGTCTATACATATATATAGATACATGTAGCTCCGATTAGAATATTTTTGTACACTCACCTAGCAACTTTACGTCTCATAATTGCTGATTTTATAGAATTTTTTTTTTTACTGAAACCAATAAAATTCCAAATGAGATAACAGTCTTTATTTTCTTTTTGGAGTTTGGATACCACTGTATAGATGTCATTCCAATCGATTGATTAGGCTGTCTATACATAGCTCCAATTAGAATATTTTTGTTTGCTCACCTAGCAACTTTACGTCTCATAATTGCTGATTTTTATAGAAATAATTTGTTTACTGAAAGCAATATAATCACCTATAAGATAACAGTCTTTATTTTCTTTTTGGAGTTTGGAAAACACTGTATATCATTGATGAATATTCTAACCGATTGATTCTACAGTCTATACATAGCTCCAAATAGAATATTTGTGTACACTCACCTAGCAACTTTACGTCTCATAATTGGATTCTGCAGACGACACACCGTGATGAAGGTATTGATGGCGTTGAAGAGCGCCCCCAACAGCCCGCCAACAAAGCCCATAGCGATGAAGATGAGCAAATCAAATGCCGTCCACAAATTGCATTTCCCTGAACCACACTGAAGAATATTGATAAGGATATTAGTGTTACATTTTTAAATTTCTCAGCGATTTATATAAATTATATACAGTCAAACCTGTCTATAGCAACTGCACAAGGAAAACACAAAAAGCTGGTCTTGGCAGACAGGTTCCTTCAGTACCGTACATGTTTCAATGCATTTTCAAGGGAAACAAAAACTGTGGTCTTTGTAGACAGGTGGTCACTAAGCAGGTTTGACTGTAATTCATTATTAAAACAGTCACTGGATTTATCAACACATGTATATCACTGTGAAAGAAAAGAAATAACTTCCGCCAGATGAGGAGGCAAATTAAAGTTCCGTCTTTCATTTAGATCTTTAGTAATTCTAAAAAGCTATGAGTGTGAAAAGTTAATAATCACATAACAAGTTGATCTCAAAGGAGGTGGTCTTTATTTACAGGGTCCTTTAGTACATGTTTCAATGAGAAACTATTTTCAAGGGAAACAAAAAATGTGGTCTTTGTAGACAGGTAGTCTACAATGCAAGACTTCAGGACAATAGATGGACAAATCGTTTGACAGAATGGCAACCAAGGATGGGAAAGAGAAGAAGAGGAAGGCAGAAGAGAAGATGGAGAGATGGGAACGGTCACTTGGACTAGGATAGCTAGAGACAGAAGAAAATGGAAATGTTATGAGGAGGGCTTTGTCCAATGTCTGGATGAATTAAAGCCTGATAGATAGATAGATAGATATTCTTTCTATACAGGTGGTTGCTAAAGCAGGTTTAACTGTACCAGTCATCTCTCACCTTGAATAATCCAAAGTCGATAAGTCCCGGCTGGCTGAGTCCGCCCCACTCCCCGAGGTTGATTCCAGACATGAGGAAATTGAGAGCAAAAGTGGCACACATCGCACAGAAAAACTTGGGAGAGAAATACAAAGGCATGAAAAGGAATATTTGCAGATCGATTCATGATTTTTAAAAATGAACTCAGAATAGAAAACAATATAATTATTGACCTTTTGCATCACCCTCCTTTTTCTCCTAAAACGACTAGGTTTCTTGAATGGTGTACTTTGCACAAAACTGCAGAGTAGACTAATCAGTGCAAATGTCATTTATGGATTGTAACACACAGCGTTAAAGGTAACACAAGTTTCGGTACGGGGTCATGAATTTGGTTCCAATGAACATATTGGAAGCATATGCGATCCTACCACCATCAGTGATCGTTGTCGTGATTGAAATCGGGTCTAAAGTTATGAAATTGTAAATAATAAACTATTTATGTCGTATAGCTCCCTCTCAAGGTCAAGATATTAATTAAGCTATAAAACAGTGTTTCTTGACTAAAATCGACCGACTAGCTATTCCCATTTGGAAAATATATACCACAACTACACATTCTGAGATTTTCATGGTCGCAGCTATAATTGTGCGGCCCTAGGCGCTATTTGAAATTTATCAAGATTTACTGGGAGCACCGGTAAATTTTTATATTCAATATTTCTCGAAAGCAGAAGTGTTTTAGTGGCTAAAATTTCTATTGCTTATAATACATCCACAGGGACATCCAAATATATCAAAATTGTAAAGAATCACTATCCACCCAATTTTCAAAATTTCCCAAAACTTTGTATTACCTTTAACATCTGTCCAAGCTGTCATAGGAAATTATTAGCAGGGGGAGTGGTGAATTTTATGTCTTCTATTCATTATTATAGATAACCTTTGGTGTAATTAGTCCCCTTTAACTCATTATTATGCCACTGAACAAAATCTACAAGTGCCACATTGTTTGGGGTAATATTTGCATACATGCCAACTGATTAAAGAGGAACATTCCTCTTTTTGGGAGAAGATAATTATCATTTTAATGCAGGTGTTCCTCTTCCTGTACAAATTTGTCTGTAGTATTGAATAGGAGAGTTAGGATTGTTCCTCTTTTTTTTGAAAATAGCATAATTTGTACAGATTTCTGATTTTCAAATGTTGGCATGTATGCATTTGCATGAACCGATGTATGCAACAAGGCTAACAGTGCAGGTAGTCTAGTTTGTTCCGTCGGTGGACCAAAGATGGGAAAATGTTAGGTACGTAAGGATATCGGAAGCTTGACTTACTGTTCTCCAAGTCAACGCTTGGTTCCAAAACGATGAACCTTCTTCCAAGCTGAACAGAACGCCCCCTATAGGTGACCCAAAGGCAGCTGAAATAAAAGTACATTGGACTAAATTGATTGCAGATTGTACTTCAAATTGGCAACAATAATGTGTTTCTTTAAAAGCTACATTGTTCTAATAAAACGCAATGTCTCTCAAAACATTATACATGGGCTTGAATTTAAGGATTTTAAGGCTGTTCTTGCTTGTTGAAATTTCGGACGTCAGATGCAATGTGGTCATATAACAAAATTGGACACAATGCGTGCAGATATATTTTGCTCTTTAACTTTCAATGCATCTGGTAGATGTTTTGGGGACTCTGATTTAAAGCCCCACTGTACTACTTGTAGCTGCTTGCTTCCTCTATATAGAAAGCAATGTCTAATCAGTGACCAGGTCCTCCATGATCCTCTTTTTCTTATGTTAATTGAGAGCTGAGTTGATGAGATAGCCACCTGTCAGTAACCTCCTAGCCAAACTAGTACAGACAGGCTTTAAATTACTGAGCCAAACCAGAAAATGTGGAATGCTTGTCCCATCATGCCTGACAGCTGGGGACCTCAATGTTTTGTCATACATAACAAATGGCGACCTTTAGCAAGATTGATGCAAGAATCATTCATAAATAATTTAGCAGCAAACTTTTATCATGATCCCATATGCTAAGATATCTTGCATATGCATTTCCTTCATGAAATTCCATGAATTGATTCTGTAACAAAGAGTACTACACTTTGTGGAGTAGTGTAGAATCTTTTTTGGTGTGTCCTGGACCCTGTTTTATAAAGAGTTACCATTGATCCAAATCAATCGCAAGTCCTCCAATTAATCGCAAGTTTGCAGTCTCCTATGATTTTACATAGTTGCGATTGATATCAACTCTTTGTAAGACGGGACCCTGGAAACCCGACTTGTGTATGGTTTCGATCAATATTAAATGGATACTAACACAAAAAGATCTTCGTATACCCATCTGTTAGGAATTTACTGTTTCTTTTATGCGGTAAATGTCTATAGCATGATCTTCATTTGCATATGGTTAATGACACAATGATGATTCATTAACTAACCTGCTACCCCTGCTGCTGCTCCGCCTGAAACAAAGTCTCTTTTATCTCTGATGGAAAAAAATGGTTGGACAGATCACAGTAAAAATAATGTGACTTGATCAGAAAAATGTTGCACTGAATCATTTCAGAACACAGAACTTTATTTATTCTATTATTTATTCTATTTGGTATTGTAGAAACATGTACCATACATGCAAGAAACCAGTGATTTGTTTTCAAGCCCTGATTATGTCATAAATAAATGAATTAAAACAATTTACCTAACACAAAAACGAAATATTATTACTACATCATTTTATGCTCTTTTTTATCTCTGAAAACTTATATACATAATTGTTTAGTAAAAGTACATACATTTAGTTTCTTAAAAATGCACTGAGAGAAATGGTTGATTGTTCATTCTGTCACGCATTATACAAATCACAATTATTATTCAGATATGAAAGACAACTTCTAAATAACTTTTTCAGCATCATTACAACAATTTAAAGTGCAATTAAGTATATTTATGTTCATATTTAAACATATAACCCAAGGCTTACCTATCAGTTCTAAAATATGGAAAGTTGAAGTTGAACTTGCGGAATGTGATGCTTTGGAATTGTGGGATACCTGCTCCAACAATCGCACCACTGTGAATCATCGGCCCTTCTTTTCCAACAAATATACCTGAGAGAAAAAGGACAATAATCATAATATTTGGTTTTTGTATAGCGCATATATCACATTAAATAAGGTCACTATTTCAAAGAGCTTCAGAAATTATTACCCTGGTATTTAGCTCCTGCAGCCGTTATCAGCACACAGTGCATTCCGAGGAATAATCTTACCTGCTACCCATTTACCTCACCTGTGTTGAGTGTGGCAAATGTAGATTAATGTCTTGCCAAAGGATATTGGTGCCGCAGCGGGACTCAAACTGTGGACCTTGTGATCCACAGTCCGGTGACATATCCACTCAACAACGACCTCTACAATAATTCTTCATGATGATTTAGATGGATTTCCATTACAGTAATAATGAACAAAAAGACATCAATGAAACACTGTGAATCATTCATCTGCCATTCTTTTCCACAAAGAAACCTGACAGAAAATAGAGAGATAAATCCTTTATAATGATGATAAAGATTAGTTTTAATCACTGTTAACAGAGACATAAATGAGATTTCATTTCATTATTCTCAACATGCTAAAAATATTAACAGCATTAGTTCCTATAATATCTAAGCTTTAACCTGGTGTTGGCATGGTTACCAGTCCTGATTTCAACCTTAATTGAGCTCACCTCCTGCCACACTAAAGAGTACCCCTACAGCCTTGGACACCAGTGTCTTCAGTCGGACTACATGTGGCACCTTGACACCATTCAGATAACACTTGATCTCGGGTATACCAGATCCACCAGCGATTGGCTAAAATGACAACAATAATAACATTGATGATGATTATAACTCAAATGAAAATAAAGATTAATTATTGCAATTATTGATGATGATAATGATGATGAAAACTTTTAATGAAAATAAAGATATCTATAACAATAATGCTCAACAAATTTAAAATAACCCTATACATGTAAGTGACAAAAAATACTGAAGCTCACAAGCATAAACTATAGCTCTAGTAATTGGGTGTGCTTTCAGTCTTTTCTTAAAGCAATCTACAGTATCAGTCTCACAATCATTTGGAGGAGTTTGTTCCACAACTTTGGAGCTGCTATCATTAATGTATTATCATTTCCTTTTTCGGAATGAGTATGGCAGATTCATTAGATGACCAAAGACCTAGGCAAGATGGCTTAAAGAGTACTCACAGTGTGAGGCCATTATGTTTTGCTGCCGTGACTTTTTGAGGAAGTTTGTCGCGGCATATCGGAACGTGGCTTAATATATGGAAAATAGAACTTACCTCGAGTGCCACCAACAGGCTCGCTATGAGAACAAAGGTCATGTTGAAAGCTAGAAGGATCATGAGAGGGACACCAAGGCAGCTGTACTTGGAACAATCACCCAAGTCTGAGCAGTCATTGAGTCAAGATTGTATAAACATTTGTCAAATAAAATCATTAAAAGATAATCTGGATTTATATAGCGCTTAAAGGAAACCAAAACCTTTATACTAAGTTACTTTTATTGTAAAGTTTAAGATATTTGAAAAATATCAGTGAAAATTTGAACAAAATCGGGCAAGGAATAAGGAAGTAAGAGCTTTTTTAAATTACTAGTCACTAGAGGGCGGTATTCAATTTGATGACATCATCTGTGAACAACTCTCCATGCCTTTTGTACATAAATTTTCACAATTTTTTTGTTTTCTTCATATTTATTTGTGTTCTTGATCCGACTTCATAACATGTGAAGTAGAATATCATTTTGCATTCTATATCTTGCTTTCAGGGGAGTACATTATCTCAAACACAAGAAAGAAGGAAAAACATGAAATTTGATGTACAAAAGGCATGGAGAGTTGTTCACAGATGATGTCATCAAATTGAATACCGCCCTCTAGTGAATAGTAATTTAAAAAAGCTCTTACTTCCTTATTCCTTGCCCGATTTTGTTCAAATTTTCACTGATATTTTTCAAATATCTTAAACTTTACAATAAAAGTAACTTAGTATGAAGGTTTTGGTTTCCTTTAATGCACCGATGTCAGGACGACAAGCTTGATGCTCAGCTTTCTACCAAATTATTTAGTAGATAACACTCATGATTGTGTGGTGTTGACCATTAACATTAGGTTTTGTTATATTCTGTGAAAATTTAATTTAATCATCTCCAATATTAAGGGTTACCATATAGCCTGAAACTTTAAGCTTCAATCAAGATAAATCACTGCCATAAAACTAATCTTAAGGCAAGTCTTTGTTTTTAAGTAGCATCCCAGTTATAATCAGAAATGTGAGCAGTTTACTAGTTTCATGCAATTGAAGATATCATCATATTTTGGTTGTGTTGGTTCAAGTCTATTTCTTTAAAGAAGGATACAATTATCAACTGTTCCCAGTTTCAAGTTGCTCAGCAATCCGACAAAGTAGTTGATAAATACAGCTACCTAGAGATGCAAAAAACAGACCAGAAAAGTTAGATAAAATTGTTTACACAAGATTATAGAAATGTTAAGCACATTAAGCCACAATGGTTTTCATGGTATAGTAAGCAAGGTTCAATACATCTCTATGGGTCTTTATTAATTGGTATATTATATTGAATTGCAGTATTCAGTTTAAAGGGTTCATTCTCATCGTTTTATAATGTATATTTTTCCAAAACTGTTGGGTTGGACGTTTCATTCCTCTCCAAACCTTCCAGTCTTCGGCATCCATATCAGTGAAATCAGATACCGTAATTATCTTATCTCTTCACCTAATGTATTCAATGGGTGAAAGAAGAAATGAGAGAAGAAAAATGGAACAAAGAAGAAAAAGGGAAAAGGGAAGGAAGAGAAGACTTGAAGTGAGGCCCATTTATTTGGAATAGTTTGCCAAATGACATAAAACAGTGCGATTACATGGAAATACTTCAAATATATGTGTAAGGGTTATTTAAGCGGAACAAAATGAAATCGTCATTTATTATGTAGAATAGAAAATTCAAGTTGTAACTTCCTTCTTCTTATCTTCTCCCTCTTAATATCTTCCTGTAACTGTCCTTACCTTATGCTATCTTTATCTTTCCTCTGTCCTCTGTTGTTGTGAATGTACATGTACAATGTTTTTTTTATATAAAGTAAGTTTGTATCTTGTTTATGCCAAGAATTTGTTTGGGGATCATTCTCGCTTTCATGATTTCCCACTTCCTTTTATCTTATGTTGATAATGAATAAACATGTATATTCTTTTGATGTTTTTTAAAAGAGAGTGAAATAAATAAATGACATTAAATGAAATCTTATGAGCTCACCAATCCTGTCAAGATGCCAATGGCAGCCGTCATGATCCATCGGAAGACTTCAAGATGTTGACTCGCCCAAGACGTCTTAGCCTCCAACATATCAGTATGGATTTGACTATAGCACGTATCATAGTCGAGACTCTATAGGGACATTGCAATAGCAATAGCAATAGTAATAGTAATTAGCAATAGCAAAAGTAATACCAATAGATCTAATAATAATAATAATAACAATGATAATTAAGAGTAATAATAATAATAATGATAATAAGTATTACAAATAGCTATTTATCAATACGTGTGCAATATGTAAGAGATCAGAGTACATGGCTGGCAAAGGATAACATGACATTTTCAAGCACCAGCCACCAAGGATATAGCTCAAGAATTATGATATTTGTAAAACATCTATCAATATCATGGAAATTAGGTAGTGGTCAGTGGGTCTAAAACTTAAATTACTTTTAATCCCTAATTAATGTTGATAATGTTTCAGTTTCATTAATTTTCTTTGGTTCTAATCTACCATTTTTTTTTTTGGGGGGGGGGAGTGAAAATTATTACAATATAAATCTCAATTAACACCAGCTGATAAAAAAAATTCGAGATAAAAAAAAACAGTATTCTTCAAATCAAGATTTACAGGAACCCAACATAATATACATAAATGTTGTACTTTGTGGTAGAGAATGTTAAATGCTTACATGGAGCAATTTATAAAGGTATTTTCTTGTGAGTGTAAAGAAATCAATACTGAAAATATTACTCTCAATTTAATTACATTGACAGCATTTACAGCACAGCATTCTTACATCATAGTCTTTTGTGGGTAAATGCAGATGGTGATGTCCATGTTGGCTGGATGCTACAGATTCCTAGATAAAAATAAATGGACAGAAAGAAATATATAAATGGAAACTAAGATACTGCTTAGTTTCAACTTTCATTATAAGATGTTACAGGTATTACAAAGTTTTGGTATGGGGTCATGAATTTGGTTCAAATTAACATCTTGGAAGCGTATGCGTTCCTAGAATATTCATTGATCGTTGTCGTGGTTGAAATAGAGTCTATGAAATTGTAAATAATAAACTTCTTATGTTGTATAGCTCCCTCTCAAGGTCAAGATATTAATTTAGCTATGAAACAAAATTTTCTTGACTAAAATCAACCAATTAGCTATTCCCATTATATAACACAACTACATATTCTGAGATTTTCATGGTCGCAGCTACCATTGTACGGCGATAGGCGCTATTTGAAATTTATCAAAATTTACCGGGAGCACCGGTAGATTTTTGTATTCGATTTTTCTCGAAAACAGAAGTGTTTTAGGGGCTATTTTTTTTAGTGCTTATAATACATCCACAGGGGCATCCAAATATATCAAAATTGTAAAGATTCACTATCCACCCAATTTTCAAAATTTCCCAAAACTTTGTATTACCTTTAATTTGCTTGAGAGACGAGACAGTTTTTGAATTTGATATTTTCACATTTAATTTTAAAGAAAAAAGAGAACTTTTATTTTTCTCTGAGATTTCTTCTTCTTCTTCTTTTTCTGGTTAAGTACAGACCGCCGTTGGCGTATTATCGTACAAGTGCTTGTCAAGGGCCTAGATGAATAGTGCAAGTAAAAATCTCACTACAATTACAAATTGACACTCTGTAAGACTTGATTTGAATTTGGAAAGCTCAGAGCAGAAGTGAAATGGTAAAATCATACTGTTAACTTTCACGGACGAGTGATTTAATTTTAACAATTAGACCTATTTCTTTTCCTCCTTCTCTTTCTCCTCCTCCTCCTCAAAACTCAAAACAAAACTCACACAAAAGCTCAACCCACACATAGGAGCATCACTATCCTGGCTGTGTAGTAAAAGCTGTGCTTTTGATTCTCAACATTTCAAACACCACTGTACAAAACTCAACTGATTTCACTAAAAATCGGTACTTTAGTGACAATTGATGAAACCTAAATAGCAGTAAAATACATTTTTTTTTTAACATACTGATGTTAAATAGAATAATTTAAAAATTAAAATTGTAAGTCTAGTGTCAAACTTTGCTTACAGCTGCATTGACATGATTGTGTCACAGTCTATGCAAAATTGTGTGGTGTGTATATTTGTGTATAGGTATAATATTACCCGCCTCACAGCAAGCATGCAGTGCTAGAGGTCAATACGCATTATCATTGACTCTCTAGTATGCTTTGCTGGAGTGGCTCAACCTGTAACCTCAAGTTCTTAATCTTAATCTTATTCTCCTTCTTTTTTCTCGCTCCGTCCTAGCTTCTCCTCTCCTCCTCAGAGGAAACAACACAAACACATTGAGCTCAAAGCCATGCTTAGTAAATGAATTGTTATTCTTTTCAAACAAAATAAAGAAAAACACTTAACTACTAATATTAGTAGCAATTTAATTTGAAGAGAAAAACAACATACTGTACTACAACAAAAAAAGCCACTTGTGGGACCTGATCTAAAATGAATTTCAAGATACAAATAATGTAACTTACTAGTTCTTCATCTCCTATTCTTCTTGGTTTTTGGCAACATCTAAAACACGATGTCAGGCAACAATTATGAGGTCTACGAGACATTTCATGAAGTTTTCTTAATGTTTTCTGAGTTTTCTCGCCTTTTTAGTCGAGGCGATCACACCAAAACACCAAAGTTCAATTGTTCGCTGTTTCTACTTCTAAATTTGAACTTCTCGTCGGCGCAGCTTAAGCTTGCGAACGTGTTGCGTATTCAATGGATCAGCTAAATGTGGGCGGAGACCTTTCACAGCTGTCGTCTGCTGTGTCTTCTCTTTATTTTGTTATCGGTTCGGCTTTATCCATATTTCATTTTGGAAACCTGAAATGTTGACTAATTTTCTAAAATTATCCAAAGCTACAATTGAACTAAGAACTTATTCTATTCAGCTCTGTCTGCTTTGAAATGAAAAAACAAAAGAAGAAGATTATTGTTATTTGTTTATTTATATTCTTTCAGTATTATCCTGACAGGCCTATAGCTGTACGAATCATTGGTTACAAATACAGAGGAAATTGAACAAAGTTTAAATAAGTACACTTCATATCATGGATCATTTGTTGGTGTTTTTTAATTTGTTATACACCATGATATAAGGGTAGATATTTGACAAGCTTATATAGTATGATATACGTCCTAAAACTGTTTTACTAATCTTTACACGATATCGTGATTGCGCTGGAGGAAGAACAAGAAGAAGAAGAAGAAGGTACACGATAATGCGTCCATATACAGAGCACGCTTGAAAAATAAATGAATAGATAAATAAAACAAATTTATTAATAAATCACTGAATGCCGGATCCTAAAAACCAGACCATACCCCCCCCCCTCTCTCTCCCTCTCTCTCTCTCTCTCTCTCTCTCTTCCAATTTCTTTGTTAAACAAGGCCTTATAATTGCGCTCATATTTTCATTTTATCATTCGGCTCTCCTTTGTAAAAGCTAGATTTGCTCGTCTTTTGAACACATTTTCTCCCACAATGATCCATGATCACTTCACATCCCATCTTTAATAGTCAAGATCACATGACGCAGATGAATCAAGTGACCTAGCAATCACACCATTCCGCGCCATACCCCTCCCACCCCTCTCTCTCCCTCTCTTTCTCTCCCTCTCCCTCTCTCTCGCTTCCAATTATTTTCCTTATACACCTAGTGGCTGTCTTTTTCAAATAAGGCCTTGCGCTCATATTTTCATTTCATCTACCTCTCCTTTATTAAAGCTAAAATGACAAATTTGCTCATCTCTTGAAATTTGAACACATCCCCCCCCCCCACAATCAGGGGCGGCGATCCCGGGGGGGGGGGGACGGGGGAACACGTCCCCCCTCAATTTTTTTAGGGGGGATCGTCCCCCCCCCTGAAATTTGAAAAAGTGCATAAAGTAGATGTATTGCGAATACTAACTAAAGACTGCAAACACACTTTTAGGCTCTGGAGGGCCCAAGAGTGCAGCGTTTAGACTAATAAAATGCAAAAATCTTCTAGCTCGGTCGCTACGCTCCCTCGCAAAATATCCTTTACAATGCACAAGTAAATATTGTCAAAAATCTGTATTCCGTTGGTATCACCGTGATACCCACTAGCGTACTGATGTGGCGAGGGGCGGGGGGGGGGGGGGCATTTGCCTCCCCCAAATAAAACTCAAACTTGTTTTATTTCTAATTCGATACCCGTGGTTTACAAATGTCACCTTTGTGTAAATTATACGTCTTTTTGCGTTTGTTGGACAATGAAAAATTCCCAAATTTACAGTCAGGCAAAACATATGCTAATTAAGAAGTCTACATGTTAGGGCCAACGGAACGGCAGGGCTCGAGGGCTCGAGCTCCCCCTCCCCCCAACCCCCCCCCTCCCCCCAGCTTCCGGGGGCTCTGGACCCCACCAAGGGATCCAGGGTGGACCCCTGAATGCTCATCTTACCGTAATTTGATTTGAGGCTCAGCCCCCTGAACCCCACAATATTAGTGACCTGCCAGTTTCACTAATAAGGTGTCAAAAATCTGCTCATCTAAACGTAATTAAATGCCTAAAACCCCTGAGCTTCCGGGGGCTCCGCCCTTGACCCCCGCTAGGGCTTTGCCCCTAGAGCCCACGCCAATTTACGCTTCACTCTACCTGATTGTAAAGACTTTAGCCCTCCCCCTCCACTTTGAAAAAACGTTCGCGGGGCCTGCATGTAACGCGTAAGAGTGGTGGTGACGCGTATTTTTTTCTGCCCCCCCCCCCCCTCCTCAAAAAAAAGAAAAGTTTTTGCTCATTACACCACTGGTGATACCAACGCGGAATACAAATTTTTCCTCGCATTTCGTCCCCCCGGTCACGAAAAGAAATCGCCGCCACAGCCCACAATGATCCATTATTACTTGACATCCCATCTTAGTCAAGATCACATGATGTAGATGAATCAAGACGTGACCCAGCAATGCAATCACACGATCCGGCGCCATTCAAATATTATTTGCTTTTAACAAATTGTATATTCATATTTTTTCACGAGATGTAAACACCATTTGGACTTTGGACTGGACCATTACTTTTCCATTGAGCGTTTTATGTATGCATTGCACAATATCTTCATCACGTGAATGCGAAAGCAATAAATAGTATTTAGTTTCAAAATTGCTTATATATCGCAGTGCATTCAATATTCAAGTATCACACGTTTACGCGGCCTGTTTCACGTACGACTTGTAAGCTGTCGTCTGCATCTATTGCGCCTTCCGCCGTGCTAGTCATCAATTTATTTCATCGTGAGTAGGCCTATAACATATTTTATGTTTCCATTTGTTACTTTTGATGGGCTTTTTGAAGTAGAAACCACGACCAAGGGAATTGGTCAGCAAATTATTCTATCATAATGATAGTTATATAGCTTTTTTTCTCTTCTTTGCGTAAATAGAAAATGTAAAATCTTTCCTAGATCATGTTGAATTATGCATAATAACGTTTCAAAATGTTTGATCAAAATATGGTTAGTGTTTGATGTTTTTATTGCTCGGATTCCTTGGAAATAGGCATATCACCAAAACTATTTGCAATACTTTTGATAAACACGGTGTTTGCCATTCCTGTATAGTTTTACTACACTTCGATTCGATTGCCTTTCATCTTAGCAGCCCCATTTCCCTGTTAATATGAACCTATGAGGCTATCATAATAATGGTGTGTAAAGAGAACTTCTGAACAAGATGTATTCACGTTTCTGACTTATTTTAATGGGAGGGGCGTGACAGGGGTATACGGAAACCCAATTCTCTCGATGTATCTACACTCTTATTTCCACTGCGTGAAATTTCACTCTAAATGGCGTCAGCTGGGTGTCAACTCTATTCCTAGTTAAAGTGACACGGAAAAGGAGTCATCTTGTCTCTGAATTGAGTCAATTCTCAGCTAATGCCACACAATCCGAGTCAAATTGATTCGGAATCCTTGTCACTTTAACTAGGAATAGAGTTGAGTTGACTCCCAGCTGACGCCATTTAGAGTGAAATTTGACGCCGTGGAAATAAGAGTGTATGCTATTCACCGGGACTTATATATCACAATGAAGCTATATTAATATCAGCCTCTAGAATTATGCAGGATCCTTATTTTCCTTCTTCTTCTTTTCGTTTTCTCCTTTATTATTTTCTTCTTCTCATCATCTATCACTCAGGAATATAGTTTGTTTTAGCTGGAGGCAGTATGATGTTTAAAAAAATTATGTTGGTCGCCTTATTGGCCGTGGTGACAGCCAGTGCCAAGAAACCATGCTGTGGCCCAAAGCAGTTTATGGCGGGCAATGGTAAGATACTTTTGTGTAAATCATTCATTTATTCATATTGCCATCATGCAACGGGTGCCACCTCCCGAAAGCAAAATATAAATAAAATTATACTAAAAGTACTGATTAAGTTTTGGCTAAAACAAAGAGAATCGTTATGGTCAACAGTAGTGGAGGGGGCCGGGGGTGGTACTCAGATTTGGTTTGGACTGGGGTGTGCCGCTCAAGCCTCGAAACCCCTACCCATTTTAAAAGTAATTTGGGGGGGGGGGGGGATTTTCCTCGAAATAAATGCCCATTTGGGGGGGGGGGGAGGGTTTCGGGTGGGGGCTTCTAAGTGGGATGTATAATAATATCTATAATGTTCTTTCGGTAACTGTGTTAATTTATTATGGGCATTCCCAACTCAAGCTATGCTTTCCGGGTTTTCGCCTCCCTCCGTATCTGAATTATTTACTGTATACTCTATGTTGAAATAATTGTTACATATATCATGTATATATATATATATATATATATATATATATATATATATATACATACATTGTGTTTTATATTGTGCTGTTGAGAAGGAAATAAATGTTAATTTAAAAAAAAAAAAAAAAAAAAAAAAAAATATCCTTCTCATCAATTTTTTTTGAAGGTGGGACAGTGGGGCAGGTGGATCCGGACTCCGGACCACAAGGTTTCTTCACCTACCAATATGGTGCATTTGACTACACCAACAGGATGTTTGGCTACAATATGTCTGTTACCTACCCCAACGGTACACAAACAAATATTAAGCTGATTCAGAAATACGGTCAGGTATGTTGATTTGACACATTTTCGTGTCTTACTATGTCATACATTTTGTTTGACGTCTGTTTGACACCACTCTTCGGGCGTTGCTATATATAGATTGAAAGGAGTGAGCTTACAGTGTGTACAGTTCGTTTGCAGTGTTTAATTATGACAGTGTGCACAGTATTTTTACACTATAAAAGGAGTGTGTGCAATTTCTTTAAAGTGTGTAGAGGGTGTCCATAGTGTCTGCACAACAAGGAAAGGGTGTCCACAGTGTCTCCACAGTATATCTAAGGACTCGTATTTAGGCCAGTGTATTCAAAGTGTGCAAATATTGTGTAAGCAGTGTATGTGTACACTGTGTACACTGTGTATTCACATCGTGGAAATAGTGTTTACAGTGTAAATAAAATGTCCATGTGCGCGTATAAAGTCCATTCGCAGAGGAGGGTCTCATGAAAGGTTCATTGTCTTCACAATATGTGAAGAAATTGTGTACAGTATCTTCATAGTTTGGAAAGTTTTCAGTTTCAGTTTGATGGTTCATATTCAACATTTTGCAATGATTTCACAAAGCCAATGGTACAAAAAATAAACATTAATTCAATGAAAAGGGACAACAACAAAAAAGAAAAATGGATAATAAGACTAAACTAAAAAAGAAGGGCGAAAGCCATGCTTGTGAGTTATTGCCCCCAAAGGGTGTTTAATATGATAACAATCTTTAAAAATAGAGAGAACAAGCAATTAATGTCAATCACATGAGGATTCGTATCCCCCTCCAAGAAACAGAGTCACCTTCATTATAATAATGTAACATCTTTTGAATAAATTGAATAAATTTGAAAAAAGTGTGCACAGTAAGCGTACCCGAAATTTGAAAAGTGTATGCACTTTTTGTCAAAGAATAAAAAGAGAGTATGTTGTGTGTTCACAGTGTGAAGACAGTTAGTACCCAAAGTGTCTCTACAGTGTGGAAATAATGAGTAAATTATGTTTACAGCTTTGAAAGTGAATGCACAGTGTATTCACAGTATGTAAAGAGTGTGTTTAAGTGTCTCCACAGTGTGGAATTACTGGTTACAGTATGTTTACACTGTGAAAAGTGAATGTACAGTGTGTTCATGGCATGCAGTGAGAGTGAGTAAAGTGTCTCCACGGTGTGGATATACTGAATACAGTATGTTTACACTGTGGAAAGTGAATGCGCAGTGTGTACATGTTATTCAAAGAGTGTGTAAATTGTCTCCACAGTGTGGAAATACTGAGTACAGTATGTTTACATTGTGGTAAGTGAATGCGCAGTGTTTACATCGTATTCAAAGAGTGTGTACATTGTCTCCACAGTGTGGAAATACTGAGTACAGTATGTTTACACTGCCAAGTGAATGCGCAGTGTGTACATGGTATTCAAAGAGTGTGTAAATTATCTCCACAGTGTGGAATTACTGGTTACAGTACGTTTACACTGTGGAAAGTGAATGCACAGTGTGTTTATGGTATGCAGTGAGAGTGAGTAAAGTGTCTCAACAGTGTGGATATACTGAATACAGTATGTTTACACTGTGGGAAGTGAATGCGCAGTGTGTACATAGTATGTTTAAGAGTGTGTAAATTGTCTCCGCAGTGTGGAAATACTGAGTACAGTATGTTTACACTGTGGAAAGTGAATGCGCAGTGTGTACATGCATGGCCGTGTACATGGTATGCAAAGCCCGGTGTGTAAAGGGTCTCCACAGCGTGGAAATACTGAGTACAGTATTTTTACACCATGGAAAGTGAATACACAGTGTGTTCGTGGAATGTAAAGAGTGTGCAAATTAAGTGCCCCACAGTGTGGAAACACTGGGTACAGTATGTTTATACTATGGAAAGTGCATACATGCACAGTGTGTCACACGGTACCAAACAGTGCGAAAAGAGCTGTACAGACGGCATCGTGAGCGCAATATGAACGATTGGTGTCGCATGTCCTTCTTTTTGCAAGCATCATGTTTATTTGAACTCTAATACCTATATCTAATTTCCATGCTTAATTATCAAACAGGGATACCAGTATATTATCCTCGAAGAATTCCAGTACTGCCAGAAGCAACCGGTCACCAAGCCGGAACCAATCAATTGTATTCCTGGTGAGAAAATTTGATTGTTTAAAGGCCCACTGCACTACTTGTAGCTACTTGCGCCCTCTATATAACAAACAATGCCTAATTGGTGACCATTGGTCCCCCATGATCCTCTTTTTCTTATGTTGACTGAGAGCTGAGTTGATGAGATAACCACCTGTCCAGTGACCTTGCAGGGCGATCTAATCCCTTCTGTAAACTATGGCAGATAAGCTTTAAGAGCGAGTGATAATTTAGATTCACCGTCTTCAAAAAAGAGATATGATTGGCCTTTAAAACAATCAAATTGCTCCATTATTTCAGTTAGGTATATTGACAATAGACAATGTATCATTTTGGTTCTCGAAACGTTAAATATATTTAAATCGATTCCCTCCTATGTAACTTAAAGCCATTGTCTAACAATTTTTCCAGTTTTACAAATCTGAGATGCATGGCCCTACGTGTTATCAGTGTCTGTGATATGGTGTAAAAGTGAAGCCCTAACAAAATTGCGCTTCAAAATTATCATGAAGTGCTTCCAAAAAGTAAGAATCTTTGAGTGACCGGTTTTTATCATACTCCCCCCCCCCCAATAGACTGTATTGTTATATAAAACTGTTGAAAACCGTTTGGCAAACAGTTTAAGGTTTATAATTATGATTGCAGCATGAGTTTAATCCAGGATTTTGTTTCTAATCTGAGGCAAAGATACACAATCCCTTTTAGGTAAAGACCAGTATTTGTTTAATAAGTTTGTGTACTTGTATATTTGCTTCAGTGAACAACTACTTTTTACCATATCCACCTGAATTTTGAACAGAAGACGGTACTCTGTATTGGGAGATAGGGTAGAGGAGAATTAGAAAAAAATACTTTAATGGAATTAAACAATTAATTGAAAAAGCAGGTCGAATAGGCTGTAATAGCTTTAGATTTACATTGCACATATAATTATGTATCCACCCCATGGGATGTTCAAGGCACCTACAATGTAGTTATCCTGGCTTTATCCCATGTTCCAGGTAACCATTTACCACACCTGTGTGAAAAGTGGCAAATGTAGATTAATATCTTGCCAAAGGACATTAGTGACGCGGCGGGACTCGAACCACGAACCATGTGATCCACAATCTGGTAGTGTATCCATTATAAAGGCCCACGACACATCTACATACGAATATACAAATGAATAGACACGCCATTTGATTTATCCAAGTATTTAGATAATTAATACATCTGTAATTTGTAAAGTTAGAAATATGTTATATCTTCCTTCTTTTATTTACTAGCCAACGCAACTTGGACTTCAAGTCTTTTCATCGGAGGCTCCAAAGGCCTGTATGCAGATTCATGGACATACAACTTCGTTTACCCTAAGGATCCCATAGAGGGCGTCATAGTTATCCAAGTCTTTGAGTCTAATTGCTACCCATTCGGGACTGCATTCATTGGCGATCGCTTCCAAGGCCAAACTCGAGGTAATGATTATTTCACAAAAGAACATAATTACTTCTTTCGTATTATATGTATAAGTTATAACTATAATGTAATTGTTTCAGTTTGAATGGGGGGAACAATCCTCCCCCATTTTCAAAACACCCCCAAACCTTGGGCTCTTATTTATTAATTAAGTTAAACCCAACCCTGTCTAAAATCACGTTTAATTAAAGGAAAATGGAGAATTCCTACTAAACTTCTTTGGGTATCCCGAGTTTGAACAAAAAACATCGACCCCGGCGGCGTGGTCTTTATTAGAATACGGATCCTTGATTTATGTCAAAATGCTTAATACTTTGAAAATATAAAGGCATATATTCACCTTGCTTCTCGGATGGGACTTACAGCCATATGTTTCCTGGACTTTCCACATGGACAATTGAATTTATATATCTGAGTGGAAAGTCGCCATCAAAGTTTATGCAAAAAAAAAAATCGTGATTTAATGTACTGTTGATGCTAGTATGAAAGAGCAAAGGTAACATTCACCAATTTTTATTTGTTGAATCAGGCGCGTACGCAGGATTTTTTCAAGGGGGGGGGGGGGGGGGGTATAACATTTTTAAATCGGGCCGAAAATTTCGCATCGACTCAGCCAGGGGGGGGGGGGGTAAGAGGGGGGTAAGGTCGCCTTTTTTAGGTCAGCCATGGGAATAACTTTTTTTTTTAAATTTATTTTTTTATTTTTTTTATTATTAAAAAAAACAACAACAAACAAACAAACCAAAGGGGGGGGGGGTGGTTTTTTTTTAGGGGGGTTTATACACATAAAAATACCAACGGGGGGTTTAACCCCCCAAACACCCCCCTGCGTACGCGCCTGTGTTGAATTGACCAAAACAGACGGCCATGCCATTCTTGTGCTGTAGCAGTAGAAATGACAGAACGCGATCAGTCCATTCGGGGATAAGTAGATTCCCTGGCAAGCCTTTCATGAACTTTAACCCATTTGACCAACATCCCATGAGACCGGCATCCCACGTGATCGATCCCCATGAGACCGAAATCCCATGAGACCGACATTCCCCGAGGCCGAAGGCCATCTTGAATGACATGCTATGGGACCAATATTGTCGGTCTTGCGGGACTTCTATCACTGTCTGAAAAGTCATCAGACGGTTTACTGGCTCGGTGTAAAAATGTCAGTGGAAAAAATGTCAGAGGTAAAAATGTCAGAGGTAAAAATGTCAGAGGTAAAAATGTCAGAGTTTAAAATTTCAGAGGTAAAAATGTCAGAGGTAAAAATGTCAGAGGTAAAAATGTCAGAGGAAAAAATGTCAGAGGTAAAAATGTCAGAGGAAAAAATGTCAGAGGTAAAAATGTCAGAGGTAAAATGTCAGAGGTAAAAATGTCAGAGGTAAAAATGTCAGAGGTAAAATGTCAGAGGTAAAAATGTCAGAGGTAAAAATGTCAGAGGTAAAAATGTCAGAGGAAAAAATGTCAGAGGTAAAAATGTCAGAGGAAAAAATGTCAGAGGTAAAAATGTCAGAGTTTAAAATGTCAGAGGTAAAAATGTTAGAGGTATAAAATAAAAACAAAAGCATGTGACAAGTTTGTTATGTTTACACCCGGGTTATATATCAGGCTTATCGAAAAAGAACAGCGAGGGATATTCTGCAGTCGTTATTTCACCGCTGTCTTATTGTATTGTATTAGTTAAGTCTTATTTTGAGCGTATACCAAGGTTGTAGTCTTTGTAGAGGAATCTTGTACTTTGAAGAATGCTATCAGTTGTCTGATGACCGCTGGCAAGCTGTGAAAGTCGGAGTACACCATCCATGTCCCATTAGTCTGCCTTATTCAATATTTATATACCGGTATATTATGTTTTTGTATAAGCAAATGGTACTGGTACACTGAGCAAACTTCTGGGGAAAAAGATTTCTAAAATCGAGAAGTTTGACCATGTTTTATAGGCTGAGTTGTCGCTCCATGGTGTAATCATTAAAAAAAAAACAAGGTTATTTAATAAAAGGATCATGCGACAAATAATCATTGTGATTCAAATTGATGCAAGGATTTTTTTGAATAAACAATGCTTTTCACCAGAATCTTCTTTGTAAAAACGACTTTTACAAATCTAAGCCATGCAAATCTGCCACTGTGTTGTAAGATTACTTTCAGATTAGGAGAAGTGTATTCTGTAATGAGTATTTTACATTGAATGGAACGTCTCAACTCAGTAAGCATGGCTGATATTTGTAAAAGTTGTTTTTACAAAGAAGATTCGGGTGAATAGCAGTGCTTATTCAAACAAATATTCGCATCAATTTGAATCACAATCATTATTTGTCGCTTAATCCCTTTTAATGACCTTGTTTTCTTTCTCGTTTGCAAGGGGAGAAGAAGATATGTCACGTTAAAGACATCATAAAGATCAGTGTTGTATACGTATATATTATATACACAGGCCAGTAACAGCTATGTAGCTTGTAAATTTGTAAGAGGGAAAATGCTGATTGAAATGATAATGATGAAATAGCAAATAATTGAGGAGTATCATAGGTACCAATTCAATGGATATTTGTATAACAGAGAGCCCCCGTCAGTACTAAAAGAGCCCCCGTGAGAAGGCTCACGGGGGCTCTTTTTGGGGGGGAAGAGCCCCCGTGGACAAAAAATTAATTTGAGCCCTGGTTGTAGAGGAATCATGTACTTTGAAGAATGCTATCAGTTGTCTGATGACCGCTTGCAAGGCGTGAAACTCGGAGTACACCATCCATGTCCCATTAGTCTGCCTTATTCAATATTTATATACCGGTATATTATGTTTTTGTATAAGCAAATGGTACTGGTACACTGAGCAAACTTCGGGGAAAAAGATTTCTAAAATCGAGAAGTTTGGCCATATTTTATAGGCTGAGTTGTCGCTCCATGGTGTAATCATTAAATAAAAAGAAAAGTCAGTACAGCCCCCAAAATAGGATCAGATATCTATGAACCTTCCCCCTCCTACTTCTCCTTCATATTTGAAGATTGTTGGACATTTTAACTGCGTGGCAATGTCTACTTTTATATATAATTTCCAATAAATGCATATTTCCGACAATTCCACTTTCTTGAGGGCTTGGTATTTTGATACTCTGAAACAAGCAGAAAGCCATGTTATCAATGCTAACCGCACCATCACATTCCCGAAGTGCGCGCGTTGCAATAAAATATTGTCGATTACCATTGCGGTATAAAATAGTCTGGGAGAAAATCAATAAGCAGCTTTGTTACTCCGATACAAAGCAGAAAGCCGCACATGTTACATCAATTAAAGAGAAGGTTGAGTTCTGGGGAAAGGTAAAAAAAAATATTTGTGAGCGTTCAATGCAAGTGTGATAGAACATCAAAGAAAAAAGTCATTCCCTGAAAATCTATTTCAAATGACTTCATATCCCAGATATAACAAGTAACATCTTTGTATGGCTGCCCGATTTGTATGCCATATGTTTGTGTAGTCCCATATCAATATCTTTCTGTGTACAGTGCTTGTTACTTTACCAAGACTGGGCCAAATTTTGTATCATTTTGATGACTCCAAAACCTTGCACTACACACCAATACTTACATGTTTATGCTAGATGATTAACCTTCTCTGATTGCTTCCAGAAAAAAATAAATTTCAAAATCTATTTTCCACATTATATTATCCTCAGGACATGTACGATATACAACACATCCATTTAGAAAGGAATATAATAGACTAGCCCATGCAGTAGCTGTACGTCTCGACATTCTGAGTGATAAAAGTGCTGAGATATTATGACGGCACTCATTTGTTTTGCTTGTACCTCTGACATTTTTACCTCTGACATTTTTTCCTCTGACATTTTTACCTCTGACACTTTTACCTCTGACATTTTTACCTCTGACATTTTTTCCTCTGACATTTTTTCCTCTGACATTTTTACCTCTGATATTTTTTCCTCTGACATTTTTACCTCTGACATTTTTACCTCTGACATTTTTACCTCTGACATTTTTACCTCTGACATTTTTTCCTCTGACATTTTTACCTCTGACATTTTTACCTCTGACATTTTTACCTCCGACATTTTCCCTCTGACATTTTTTCCTCTGACATTTTTACCTCTGATATTTTTTCCTCTGACATTTTTACCTCTGACATTTTTACCTCTGACATTTTTACCTCTGACATTTTTTCCTCTAATATTTTTTACCTCTGACATTTTTACCTGGCACCGGTTTACTAGACAAACGTCGGACAACCGCAAGACCAGCCTCTTGATAACTTTTCTGAGGGTTCACGGGTTTGCTAGACCGACATTTTCGGCCCCGTAAACAGTCGGTCTCGTGGGCTGTTGGTTTACTGGGATGTCCCAAAATGGATTATGAATTTTTTTTTTTCCATGCATATCTTCTGATTAGCTCTTTTGCTATTCTCAACATGACACTTACAGTAGGTGGCCTTCTGAGAAGTTATCAGAGTGTTCACTTCGTAAACGACCCATGATACCGACATAAACGTCCTTTGAGTGTTTCACAAAGATCCTAAGTTGAACTTAACTCTAAATTGGAATGAAAAATTATGGAGAGCCATATGTAGCCTTAAAGCCCCACTGTCCTACTTGTAGCTACTTGCTCCCTCTATATAGAAAACTTCCCCAATCGGTGCCTGTTGGTCCCCCATGATTATCTTTTTCTTATGTTAGTTGAGAGCTGAGTTAATGAGAAAGCCTCATGTCAGTGACCTCGCTATGTGGTGTAATCCCTTCTGGCCCAGTAGTATTGACGGTCTTTAAAATAAAATAAATTAAAAAGCTAAAATCAAGCATTTTTGACTTTTTATAAATTTCACATTAAGGACATGAAATCTCCTTGATAATAGAAAATGTGAATGATTTGAATCAACATCGCATGCCTTTTAAAATAACTTTTACAAAATATTTTCATAGATGCTAACGGCTTTCCATAATTTTTAAGTCCATCTTAGAGGTTCAACTTAGCATCTTTTTGGAGAAAAAAAATCCGAGGGTTCACCAAACCGAAATTGTCGGTTTCGTTAGCTGTCGATTTATTTGGGATCTATCGATATGGATTACGAATTTTTTCTGTCTCCTTGCAGTTCCCATGACCAGTTCGGGTGGTCTTCTGAACATGACAATCGGGATTCCTGATCCAGACGCGTGGTTTACTGTACCAAGCTTCTGTCCTACAGAGGTATGACGTCATCCACGTTTCCATCTGCTTCAGTATCGACATTATATCACTCTAATAAGCATTTCAAGAACAGTTTAGGGAACTTTGTTTTCACGAAACGCTTATACGTATATTAATGGAGAAAAAAATGAAAATGAGTATACACTTAAAAAGAGTTCACGTTGCTCTTTTATGTCAAGTATGCGAAAACTGGGACGAATTTAATACATTCATTGTTATTATGCTTACTGTTGAAGGCTTATATTTTTATTCAAGGCCTAATAATTTACTGGTGTTTTAATTTTATTCAGCATTTACTGACAACTGGTTTGACAACTATCATTTTTAGATTTACTCATGAATTTCCTCTTGTATGCTTGTGTCCTTTCATGGTAATTCTTCAACAAAATCCAATACTGCTATTTCGATTAAAGTTCTTTTCTTTTTTCCAGATGAACACATTCAAGACACGCGAGGAGCGATCTGCACCAAACCTGCCAAATCTAGATTTCTTCCACCTGCCACAGTTCTACTGAAGAACAACAGTGCTCCGTTAAAACACAATCATGACAACAATCATCCCCACAGCCGACCAACAAGATGACCCCTTTTTAATCACCATCATCATGATCAATGGAACTGAATTTTGATTTGAACCGATTATGATTTATGATTGGGTGTGAACGTTATTCCCTTCAAATATGCACTATCAACAAAACTGCGCTATTTTCAGTTTAAAATATTCTTGGGGTAAATAAATATTTGACATTGATATGTATATTAATTTCTGATCAGTGTTTTTTGTGGTTTAAATAGTGTTAAATCAATAGCACACTTGTTCTGGGATTAGTCTTGTAACCCATCAATTTATTTTTATTTTTCAGAAACACACTTTTTATATTTGGAAGTTTTTCTTTGGGGGAGAGGCGAGATTTCTGACACTTGACTTTTGTTACTTTATACGCATAATATATTCTCTACAAAATGTAAACAACATAGTAGAATATCTTTTGAATTATTTAAGAAACAGTTGAAATATAATTATGAACTTGAGCGAATAATCTATTGAAAACCAAAAACATTTTTTTTTTACTTTCTTGATAAATGAAGAGATGTACAATTGAATAGAAACATGTTATAACACTTTTGTATTACCATGTACTGCTTATTTTCATCACATCAATTATTTTGTAGTGTGTACTTTTGTTAATTTGCTTTGTTAATTCTGAATAAATTTTCTTTGAAAAAAATCATCATCATGATCATCGCCTTCCATCAACAATGATTCTTTGGATCTAAATTAAGAACACCCTTGCATGTAGTAATAATGCAAGTCTCAACCCTTCTACCACCACTCTCTCTCTCTCTCTCTCTCTCTCTCTCACTCTTTCGCACACACACACACACACACACGCACACACACACACGCACACGCACACACACACCCCCACACATACACACACACATACACAAATAATATATATATGTACCCCTCTCTCTCTCTCTTTTTTTTCTCTCTCTCTCTCTTCCTCTCTCTCATTCTCTTTTCCACTTTGGCTGGATCCAAGCTGGAATGATCAACAAAAGTAGGTTAATATAGTCACATCATGGTAACATGATTTTGGGACACTCAAACAACATGCTAAGGAAGCGGATTTTGAGGAAATTTCGAGAAAAAGGAGCAACAAAGTCTAAATCCTTCTAGGCATACTTTAAGTGTCGTAGCTGTAGGTTCACGGAGGGTGGGGGGGGGGGGCATGGGGCACGGGGGCACGGGCCTCCCCAATCGAAATACGCAATATCATGTGAATAGAGAGAAAGAGAGAGATTTTTCTCCTCCATCAACGCTCCGTTATTCATCTCTTTAAGTCTTCCTTATGTTCTCTTTTCTATTCTTTTTCTTTTTTCCCTCACTTTTTGAACCCGAGATCTCCTATTTGATTTATCCTATTTCCCTACGTCTCCCATTTCGCATACTCTGTTCTCACTATACAGTATCTAAAATTCGACACATTGTTCGTACATCCTCTGTTGGTGCATCGTGTATAAAAGGTATCAAATTCCAAAGAATTTGGTTTTATCGAACTAAACTGAAATCAATGACTGCGATGATCTTAAACAAGAGACCTTCATGTCCACCGTGACCTGATTTTTAAAATTCTGTTTATTGTAAAAAAAAAACACAAAATATATACAGTGTATACAAACAATTCAAATTGATATTAATATACAGAAACATATAATACAACTATTGACAAATCGAAGAGATAATTCATTTTTTCGTTGGATCTAACTACTTCCAGCATTATAAAGTACGACACATGAAATATTTAGAATATATATAGTATTATGTAAGGAATGACCTATGCAAAAGCTACAGGGGTGTTCACACACCTTTGCCGGAATCGAAATGAACAATGTATGGAGGTACGTACTCCATTTTGCTCTTCCAGTAAAAGAGTAAGGATATGAAATACATAAATTGATGTTTTATTTTTGGAAAATCTGGTTCACTAAATTCAAATGTGTATCCCTGTATATTGATGATTGAAACATATTAATGTCGATATACAATTGTTGTTATCATTGTTAGACCAGCTCAAATTTCATTGTTCAGGTTAATATATAAATAAGTTGAAAGTATTATTCTGCTAATTTCTTGTTCTCGAAACATATCGCATACAATACATGTATTGTAGATTAAAACCAAACATTACACATCGTGTCACAGGAAAATTATCTGATTCAAGTCGACTTAGCTATGATATCTTGATGAAAGTACTGACAGACAAAAACGAAAATAGAATAGAAAATACTCCTGTCCGATTCCTTTAAAATTATGAACAGAGGCGTAGCACGGTAGCTCAGATAAGACAATTGTGTGTGGAATTGGCTCCTCTCATCTTCTTATCATGTCTTATTTCCTCTCTCCATTTCTCTCTCTCTAGTTATTTTTCGTTTTTCGCCATTTTAAAATCGACGGGATGGGCACGTGCCCCTCTGCTCCCGTATATATAGCTACATGCCTGGTTAATAATGACCGCATTCTATCGCGAGAAGATAAACATGTCCGTAGAAAGCCTATGCATTTAACACCATTATTGTCCGACATGCAGGTCCATGGTTCGAATCGCCGGTCCAAACCATCACCAGTTCATCTTTCTCACAGCTTCAATGATACATTATTGTTATGCCCCTAGTGCTAAACATAATATATGCCCAACAATGTGAATAAGACGATACCGCACACTATTCCAGCTACTGCCCAGCCCAACGCATGCTGTGAGGTTGAACGAGCCTCATCGTAATCGCCAGCCATTTGTTTGTCCTTGGCCTGTGAAGATAGGGAGAAAAAAAAATTGACAGACATCACTTTAAATTTAAAAATTACTGCCGGGAGGATTAAGAATTATTCAAAATTGGAGAAATAATTTGGTACCATTACAAAGGGGGGGGGGGGGGGTGGGAGATGTGAGGGGGAAAACATCAACAATTTATATTCATAGCTTTCCAAAGTATGAAGTAATTTTAAATAAAATTTGACAAACTTGCTTCGCTTAATTTCATCCCGTAACACAAGTCGTTGTCTGGCAAAAATTCGTGACGTCATTCTGGAGACATTCTTGGAAAGAATACATTGCATCGCCAAATTTCCAACAATCACAATGTCCTATTTAGGCTCCGATTATGATGTTGGAATTGTATTCCTTCATTGGGTTACAATTAACATGATTGTAAAACCTTTTAAAAAATATTTACATGAGCAATTCTCAACTGTCATAATTTAAAACCTGCTAATTTTCACCAATAATCACATAAACAGTATTTTGATTTTTGTTATTACGATTTCCTTGTGTTATTTAGGTTTTTATTTTTGCTGGATATAAATTAACATGTACGTCTTTTTATTTTATCCCTTGATCTTTTGATAACTCTGTAATGTCAAAAGATTGAGTTAGGATTAATTGAAGAAAATGTCAAACAAACATACATTGTAATGGCCCTGTTTTGGTTAGCAACATCATCACGTTACTTCTCGTCGAGAGAGGTGTGATTTGTATTTCTGCCTTTGTTTGGTTGAGGTTTAATATTTTTATTAACTTATTACTTATTTCTGTCTTGTTCTGTTCTATTTCACGAACTCAGTGTAATAAACTGTATGGCCCGAATTTACAAAAGAGGTTTGTCGATAAACCTAGGTTTATGTGCGTCATTATGACGCGTCGAAACGCATCATATGACGCTAAACCTTGTTAACGAGTTATATGACGCACATAAACCTAGGTTTGTCGACAAACCTCCTTTGTGAATTCGGGCCTTTAACTTTGATCTTAAATGCTTACAATTGAAGCCATGACGACAGCGATTAGTCCAAAGGGTAGACAACAGCATAAAGTGACTATCCAAGCCATGAGGGAATAGTCCGGTATTTGCTGCCTGGGCGCTCCCGAAAATGCATTCGTGGATCGAGGAGCAGTCTGATAAATTAAAAAAAACACATCAATAGTCAAATGGATCTCATGCTACCAATGACGTCACAAATATTTATAAAGCAATTGTGACCACACAGCAGTACAGATAAAATATGCGATGGCTCCTTCCTTTTGAGCGAGCCCTTATTCGAATAATCTCCAGATGTCTTTCTTTGATTTGTGATTTTCCTTTCATTACCTTTCTTTAACGTTGTCTTCGTTCCTCATCAGACGCCTTCGGCTTTGTTTATGTCCCATCTCCTTCTCATTCTTCTTACATTCATTTCACAAGTCGGTTATAACTTCATCTATTTAAAGAATCTCATTCATTTTGATTATTCTACTTACACGAACCACTGTAGTTTGTGGCTGTGGCTGAGCTTGGATGTGATTGGATGTTTGTAAGTAAGAGGGCGGGGTTCCTGATGATACGTCATTCTGTTGTGGCGGGTATTCAGGCTGTACCGAGTGGCCCTGTGACGGTGGGTACATCGCTAGTTGTGACCCCATCCTCACGTCGACTATGCCGAGGTGCTGCTTTTCTGCTTCAGACATTGGAATCTCCGTGGCTAAACAGATACAAAAATACATTTGTTATCGTAAACAGGAATAATAAATTGGTTATTAAATCGCAACCTTTTCAATTATGTGATTAATTAGGGAAAGAAAATCGAAAAGCTGATAAATCTTTCGTATCTTTTCCATATTGTCCATTCAACTTTTTCAATACATTTGCAATGGTAAGGGGAAGTTACAAAAATCTTAATCTAGTTCGACACTTTATTAATGTGACTAAGAAAACATATGCTTTACATATCCTCGATAAATATAGCCTCGGGATATTTTCTTTTCTTCTTTTCTGTCTTTCTTTCTTTCTGACATTTATACAAGGTAGCGCATTTTGAACAATAGTGATGATCTTCCACGAGGCTCCGTTTTGTAACAAGAAAATATAGTAACATAGTCATAAAGTCAATATAAAATTTGTATTTTAATCTCATGACGGATCACAATTACCACGCTTTTTGCACCGTAAAATATTATCGTGTCAATGATTGAAATTCAAAAGAAAGAGCCCAAATCTATTCAACACTATCGCAACTTTTTCGGAAACTCACCTCTAGGCAATTTCAATAAGCTATAGTTCGCCCCCCCCCCCTATGAAACACGTTCGGGTTACGTAATACGTCATCGTCATGTTCGCTCATTTCAAGAGGTTTGTGGTCGTTATTTTACCTGACTGCTAAGAAAGCATAAATGCTTGTAAGTAAGCAACCAGACGGCCGGCGGCTTTAGGTCCTCTCCGAAGGGACCTTGTAATGAGGATTAATAATGCCTTACCAAAGGGCACTAGCGCAACGACTTGGTTTCGAACCCGGGTCACCGGATTGCGAGACCACTGCTCTACCGACTGAGCTATCGCGCCTCCTTAGTAGAAGTAGTACTACTACAAGCTAGGTTCACAAGCTAGGCTATTGAAATTGCATCCATTTTTTGTTGAAAGTGTTGTTTGCATTTCTGGAACAAACTGCATCGGTTACAGAATAAAGATCACTTTGAAGAAGGTGATATGATTATACTTACAAGTCATTTTGGTGTAAGTCTTTTTGCTGATTTATGCCGATTCCGGTAACTTCAGTCGTGAGGCAATGGTTTTTAAGAACGCTCTAAAACTTGAAACGATATGGCTTCACTTTCCTCGAGTGACTGAAACGAGTTTATATCACATCCTCATTTATAGGAACTTGACAAATTAAACAAACAAAAAACTCAACGCCCCGCCCACCACTAAGGCACGTAACGGAAATGTTTTCTTCGTACTACTGATTTGTGCCTACACTCTTTTAAAAATTAGGTTATACCCTCCTATAACTTCGAGAATTTTCCGTTTTCTACAGGGAACCGGATTTTGGAACTTTTTTTTGTTTGGTCAGGCTGGGGAGGGGACCCAGGCCCCGGGCTCCCCCTGGATCCGGCACTGCTTCTACTACTACTACTACTACTACTACTTCTACTACTACAACAAATACTACTACTACTACTACTACTACTACTACTACTACTACTACTACTACTACTAATAATAATAATACTAATAATACTAATGCTACTACTACAACTACTGCTACTACTACTACTACTACTATTACTATACTATTATTATACATGTTCTACTACTCATACTACTGCTACTACTATACTACTACTAATACTACTACTACTACTACTACTACTACTACAGTACTACTACTACTACTACTACTACTACTACTGCTTCTGCTACTACTAATGATAAAAATGATTATGATGATAATGATAATAAAGATAATGATGGCTATGATAACAATAAATGAAGAAAAAGTAATACTTCTTATGCACGAATTTAATGAAACATATGTATTGATACATCTGACATTTCTGATGCTCGATCTTTACATCAAATTTAGTGAAAGGAAATGAAAGGAAATATACATGTATCCGCTGAGCTGTTTGACCTTGCCAATGAACTCGCTCGCGGAAAATGGATTTCAGCGGAAATCTGAGTATATGAAAGCCGGGTTCCTGTCCGGGTTCAGATGTATGATGGTGGTTACTACGCCGATGACAGGTTCGAAGACCGCAGCGCAGGCGCGTACGCAGGATTTTTTCAAGGGGGGGGGGGGGGGGGGGGGAATTACATTTAGAAATCGGGCCGAAAATTTCGCAACGACCCAGCTAGCCGCTGAGTAAGCGGGGGGGGGGGGGGGGGGGGGGGGAGGACACTCTTTTTTTTGGGGGGGGGGGGGGTCTCCAAAAAATCGCAACGACTCAGCCGACCGCTGGGGGGGGGGGGGGGGGGGTAAGAGGACACTTTTTTTTGGTCTCGAAATTTGAAAATTTGACATTTTGCTCCGTTGGGGGGGGGGGGGGGGGGGGGGGGGGTAAGAGGACACTTTTTTGGGGTCTCGAAATTTGAAAATTTGACATTTTGCTCCGTTGGGGGGGGGGGGGGTAAGGTCACCTTTTTTAGGTCAGCCATGGGAATAATTTTTTTAATTTTTTTTAAAAAATAATTTAAAAAAAAAACAAAAACAAAAACAAAAAAAAACAAAGGGGGGGGGGGGGGTTTAGGGGGGTTAAACACATAAAAATACCAAAGGGGGTTTCACCCCCCAAACCCCCCCCCCCCGAATTATAACGAGCTGCGGATTCACTGATAAAAAAGGGGCAGTGGCGTCGTATCCATATGATTTGAAAAATAAATCAGATTATTCCGATGACCTGTCTTTCTTATTTCTTTAATTGAAGTCCTGTCCAATTTTTTAATGTTTGTTTGTTTGTTCGTTTTGTTTCGTTTTGCCCTTGTTTTTGTTTGTGGCTTGACGTTCGGTGTTTGATGAACATGAAATTCGATCCCCAACCCCCTCCATTTAATATCGTCTCATTACACTCTATACCCCCCCCCCCCCCCATCCCCGCCTAACCCGCCGCATTTAAAATGATCTCATGACTATCAATACAAACAAACCTAGCGCCCCTGCGCCACCCGAAAGCCATTTTTTTTGCCGACCGATGTTTGCAAATCCATCATAATGTTTAAACCATGAATATTATATCCATGTTTACCCACCTTTGTTTCTTACTCCTCAGTCACACAGCTAAACCGAATTGACATATACCAAGAAGAGAATCGACGGACCTATTGATATCCGCATGCACAACGTACGTCGCTGGCAATTAGTTTGAACAAGCTTCCTATGTTTACCCATCTGTCAAATGACAAGGCCAATTGCATTCATGAAAGTATTGGCTGTATAAATATGATACATTCCTCTGCAAATATCCGATTCTGACACCTTACTCCTGTAGCTTCGTAAAGCATTGCCTTCAAGACAAATATTCTGACGTCTCTAGGCTGTGTTCTTACGGTGACATTTTCCTTGGTGCTGTGTAGTATGATCAGAATTGGCGATTTTCGTATTCCGATAGTTTTTGAACTTTCGTTTCTCCGGACGTTGATATTGATATTGATATCTTCCCTGCATCACGATACAATTTATGCAAATGGAAGATCTTAGATTATAATACATGTGAGATATGTAATACGCTAGAAACCACTAAGCATATGATGTTGGAGTGTGAAAATGTAAGATTGTTTTGGAGAATTGTTTCAGGTGTAATCTTCAATTTATGTGGTCTAAATATTCAGATGACTGAACAGATTTTAATACTTGGTTATGAAGTTGAAAACTCAATTTGTCATTTAGTAAATTTAATAATAAATTTTGCTGAGTATGTAATATATAGAAACCACATAAAGAATTTACAATCATTTAATAGAACACATGCGAGAACTCTATATCGTAGTCTTAAATATGAGTTGACATTTTATTTGAACTGTAAAAGTATTAAAAGAGAAAATAACAATATGGTACAGAAATTAATTGAGATGCTGTAGACAACGAAAACAGATGTACTCATGAACAAACTAATGGGACGTTGCAATATTTATTTGTTTATGATTGTATATGAGTTGAATTTGTTTATTTGAAGGAAAAGAAACAAAAAGGAATGTCAATTTGAATAATAAAGTTCCTCTGATTGAGGTTAAAGAGAAAAAAAAAAAATCTTCCCTGCATCTCATGTCATGAACTTGGGTTGCGAGTTTAATTCGTACATAGCCATGAATCAACATAAACGTCCTGGGAGTGTTACCATTTCGTGTTTTTTTTTTTTTTTTTTTTTTTCTTTCTTCATTTTTCTTTTTTTTTACAATTCAATTATGAGTTCTGAGTTTTGTTGATCGATCGGGTGGTTGGTACATGCACAACATTACTTATTATAGGCTCTGTATAAGCTTGGCTTGTTAGTAATGTGCCGCGGGATTCCATATCCTCAAACTGCTGGCGAACAGAGCAACAAGACCAAGCTCTGTAATTATTAGGATCTCTGTCCAGTAGTGCCGTGTTTGTGCCATCGAACTGGATCGACCAAATCAATTGATTTATAATATATATATATATATAATATTTTTTCCCGTAACATGAGAGTAATTTTAATAGTTTCATACTATCAATTAAATGTAATGTTAACTGTTATTGTATAATTGTTTTAAATGGGGGCACGCTACAAGAGTCCTATCTCGCACCCCGGGGCAACGAGTCTGACACGGCCGGTTGTAGCAACTACTCCGAAGATCAAGATACATTAATCTTGATCTAAGGAGACACGAACGAACGAAGCTACTTGCTCCCTCTATATAGAAAACTTCCCCAATCGGTGCCTGTTGGTCCCCCATGATCCTCTTTTTCTTATGTTAGTTGAGAGCTGAGTTAATGAGATAGCCACCTGTCAGTGACTTCGCTGTGTGGTCTAATCCCTTCTTGCCCAGTAGTATTGACGGTCTTTAAAATAAATAAATTAAAAAGCTAAATATCAAGCATTTTTGACTTTTTATAAATTTCACATCAAGGACATGAAATCTCCTTGATAATAGAAAATATGAATGATTTGAATCAACATCTTATGCCTTTTAAAATAACTTTTACAAAATATTTTGATAGATGCTAACGGCTTTCCATAATTTTTAAGTCCATCTTAGAGGTTCAACTTAGGATCTTTTTCGAGAAAAAAATCCGAGGGTTCACCAGACCGAAGTTGTCGGTATCGTTAGCTTTCGATTTATTTGGGATCTATCGAAATGGATTACGAATTTTGTCTTTCTCCTTGCAGTTCCCATGACAAGTTCGGGTGGTATTCTGAACATGACAATCGGGATTCCAGATCCAGACGCTTGGTTTACTGTACCAAGCTTCTGTCCTAAAGAGGTATGACGTCATCCACGATTCCATCTGCTTCAGCATCGACATTATATCACTCTAATAAAAATTTCAAGAACAGTTTAGGGTACTTTGTTTTCACGAAACGCTTATACGTATATTAATGGAGAAAAAAAATGAGTGTACACTTAAAAAGAGTTCACGTTGGTCTTGTATGTCAAGTATGCGAAAACTGGGATGAATTTAATACATTCATTGTTATTATGCTTACTGTTGAAGGCTTATATATTTATTTAAGGCCCAAGAATTTACTGGTGTTTTAATTTTATTCAACATTTACTGACAACTGGTTTGACAATTATCATTTTAGATTTACTCATGAATTTCCTCTTGCATGCTTGTGTCCTTTCATGGTAATTCTTCAACAAAATTCAATACCGCTATTTCGATTAAACTTCTTTTCTTTTTTCCAGATGGACACATTCAAGACACGCGAGGAGCGATCTGCACCAAACCTGCCAAATCTAGATTTCTTCCACCTGCCACAGTTCTACTAAAGAACAGCAGGGGCTCCGTTAAAACACAATCATGACAATAATCACCCCCAAGTCCGACCAACAAGAACACTCCCTTTTAACCACCGACTTCATGATCAAATGAATTTTATTGGAACCGATTATGATTTATGATTGGAAGTGAACGTTATTCCCTTTAGATATGCAGTATCAACAAAATTGCGCTATTTTCAGATTAAAATATTTCAAAATATTCTGTGGGTAAATAAATATTTGAAATTGATATGTATATTAATTTCTGATCAGTGTTTTTTGTGGATTAAATAGTGTTAAATCAATCGCACATTTGTTCTGAGATTAGTCTTGTAACCCATCAATTTATTTTTTATTTTTCAGGACCACACTTTTTATATTTGGATGTTTTTCTTTGGGGGAAGGGCGAGATTTCTAACACTTGACTTATGTTACTTTATACGCATAATATATTCTCTACAAAATTTAAACATGGTAGAATATCTTTTGAATTATTTAAGAAACAGTTGAAATATTATAATGACCTTGAGCGAATAATCTATTCAAAACCAAAACAATTTTATTTAATTTCTTGATAAATGAAAAGATGTACAATTGAATAGAAACATGTTATAACACTTTTGTATTACCATGTACTGCTTATTTTCATCACATCAATTATTTTGTAGTGTGTACTTTTGTTAATTCTGAATAAATTTTCTTTGAAAAAAAAAATCATCATCATGATCATCGCCTTCAACAATAATTCTTTGGATCTAAATTAAGAACACCCTTGCATATAGTTATAATGCAAGTTGCATTATTATTATCACCATCATCGAAGAATGCTTACAAGTCCATTGACTGTTGTAACACTATCCGATTGTAATAAACTCTTATCTCTCATCTCAAACCTTTTGAACCCTTCTCCCACCACTGTCTCTCTCTCTCTCTCTCTCTCTCTCTTTCGCACACACGCACACACACGCATACACACGCACGGAGCAAACACACACACACACCACACACACACGAGCACGCGCGCGCTTTTTCCTCTTTCCTCTCTTTCCCCTTCATCATTCCAATTAGTCCAATAAACAATTGTGAAAGAGATATAATGAATATATGGATTTAATCACGAACGAAAGGGAGAAATATAGGTATATTGGTTGGGAATATAAAGCCCCGCTGTACGGTGATTAATATTTATAAGTCATATTTCATCAATTTATTAAAGATAACGAACTTACTTAAATAGGCAGATGGCAGGCGTAATGATTTGTAGATGATTACGCAGAATTTCCGAGGCTAAAGTGCCTTTCGTTATAATGATTGATCACGATTATTATCCACTATTTACATGCCCCATTTTAACTGACAGGTTAATTGTCATTAAGGTCAAGCATGAGAAAAGAATAACGGAAAGTCAGCTGAATCTATTAATCTATTAAAGTATCTACTTCGTAACAACGCACGCATTTCCACTATTTTCTGTCACAATTTTGTAGTTGGAATCTGCCTGTTAACAACTTAATTCTTCATACCCTTTTCAAGTTAGATTTGTGTTTCCTTTTCTTTTTCGTTACTCCACAATGAAAGGTGAAATGGTTAATTAGGGTCTTTGTTGAATAGTTTTGGATGTCAGCTTTCAGAAGTCACATTTTCAGGAAACATAAATCAGGACAAATCTATTTTTCACATACTTAAAAAAATACACCAAAAACAAAAAATGGTAAGGCTATGAATAATTATTTGTTAATTTTACAAAATGACCATCGAGAGATTTCCGAATCATGATTGCTTTGTGAATTAAAAGCACTGGTAAAATTTGGTACTCTTTTAGTGAAGAAAGAAAGTGGTAAAATTGTGCATATATCGCGCAAACAAAAAAGGGAAGACTTTTAGTCTGTAAAGGCTCTTGTTATATATTTCTTACCGATTCTACAGCTTTCATTCTAAGAGAGAGATTTTGTCTTACTTGTTTGTTTCATGATAATGCAAAAATCTGTGTGAAATCTTATTTAGCTATAGAATGTTCAACCGTAGGGCCAATTAATTGGACATTTGTTTTCTTTCTAATCTCACTTCTATATACCCCCGTATTTGAAAAATCTGTTTCTTGACTAAATTTTATTTTTGGTTAATTATTTTTGGCGTGGAGTAGATTTCATATACGCGTAAAGGAAGCATATTATTCGTTTTGCAACATTTTCATTGAGGAGGTTCAAGAAACCGTTTTATAATGCTCGTAGATGATTGCACATGTAATGATTTTCAAAATTCATTGTAAATCGATATAGCCTGAAATAATTGGTATCGAGTCGACTCAAATTATCCCAACTGACTATAGTTGCGGCACCAAGGTGGAAAATATAAAGTGAATTTGTGTGCCCTCCCCCTCCCAATCGTCATCACTTGTAGAAAATGAGAACTTATTTTTTTTTTTACTTGTCCCTTCTGCAAAAAATTTCGTCGACTTTCAACATCTTGCCTGTATTTGTATATCCTGGTTCATACACCTACCAGGTATCTACCACTGTATCTAGAAATACACTACTGACAAACGGAGACATTGTAAATTGAGATATTCTGAATTAAACTGTAAATGAAGAAAATACAAGATTATTCCACAACATACTTTTCACAACCCTTATACTTAACTAGCTACACAACTAAATCTATAATAATAATAATAATAATATTTATTTTTTATATAGCGCTTAATACAAATGTCTCTAAGCGCTTTAAAAAATATACTATTACCCCGGTCATTGGATTCAGTGCTTGCCCGCACACACTGTGTGCTCAATCTCCACTCTCTGGGGAGCATTCCAGCCGGGCGTTACTTGACGCTCACAAGCTGTTTGACCAACAATGACGGCCACATCCTACCGGGTACCCATTTGACACCTGGGTGGAGAGTAGCAAGTGCAGGTTAATATCTTGCCAAAGGATGTTAGTGCCGTGTCGGGATTCGAACCCTCGACCTGACACGGAACATTATTAGGCCTAAACAAAAAAGATTTTGTATTGCCTATATAGGTGCCAAAACATGAGTCGGTCGGTCGGAAATCTTCTGTTTTTTAATCATTTTTTTCTCCCTCTTTGGGCTGATATTTCTCTGTTTTGAATGCTTTAATACATATTTTCTTATTCATTAAACATTTTTTTCTTAAAAACGGTTTTAAAAAAATAATTAAAAAGCCGATCGTAGATGTCAAGATTTTGTGGTCGGTCGCAATGGGCAATAAAACATTTTTTTTTTAGGCCTTAAGTGTGATATTCTGAAAGTTCATAAACCTGTAAAAAAAATCAGACCCAGATATTACAGCGTCGAGAGCGTGGTTACAAACACCACTTTCGTGTACTGCATATAATGATGATCATAATGATAATGATAACGATAATGATAAAGATAATGATAATAATAATAATGATAATAATAATAATGACAATAATTATAATAATGATGATAATAATAATAACGACAATAATTATAATAACATCAACAACATTAATAATAATAATAATGATACAAAATAATGATATTAATAATAATTTTGTTCACTCAGGGGAGCCCCATCAGCATCAATGCTGTTATTCCTGAGTGCACTGGAACTATTGTTATCCAGCACAATTGCCTGTTACCAAATAACACCTGGAACATAAAGTTATTTCAATCTGGACTTGGGTAATCCAGATTCAAATCAAATTACATGCCAAATCCTTATAATTTGAGAACTCTCTCATTTATAGGGCTTATAGCCTCCACTGCTTTGCTTTTCTCATGGTATAGCCAACTATCACCTCCATCACACTTTATATGACATTTTCGCTGTATATTTAACTTTCTCATTTTCACTCCTTCGCTTTCCTCATTAAAGTATTTATGAAATCACTAAAAGTAAATTCTCTCTTTCTCATGCAGTAGTAGAAAGACATCGCATTTATACAAACATTAACACAATACACTTAAATAATTAATTAATGATGCTTTTTGCAGTTGAAATGTAATCCATGTTTCTTTATTTGGCAATACAAATAAATGCACTGATAACAAATAAATAATTATTTACACAAAATAGGTTGTCAATCACTTTTATAAATAACACAACTTGCAAAATATACAAATGTATATCATGCTGTTTGTTCTGACGTATAACTTTATACATGACATGGACCCTTTAAAAACGTATAAGTTTATACATCGTACAGACCATCCAAAAACGTATAAATTTATACATCGTACAGACCATCCAAAACGTATAAATTTATACATCGTACTGACCATCCAAAACGTATAAGTTTATACATCGTACAGACCATCCAAAACGTATAAATTTATACATTGTACAGACCATCCAAAACGTATAAATTTATACATCGTACTGACCATCCAAAACGTATAAATTTATACATCGTACAGACCATCCAAAACGTATAAATTTATACATCGTACAGACCATCCAAAACGTATAAGTTTATACATGGATTTGGAGGGTGCGTGCCATGTATAAACTTATACATATAAACATACGTATAAACTTACACAGTGATCCTACAAATTGACCCTCTTAAAGTGATGTGAAACTTTAATATAATAACAAGGAGTAATTACAGCTGGAGTAAAAGCTTAACAATTTCCTCTGAAGTAGGCTCAATGCCACAACAACCACGACAAATATATATGCGCTCTCCGAATACATGCACATTGATTCAAAAGAACTAACGATGAAACACCCGCGGCCAGTATTGCTACAGAGGATGCACATATGCAATTAAAGGTATTCAATATAATGATAATTGGTTACACAGAAAGTGCTCATGAATGGTATAACCAGGTGTAAGCAAACAGATACACGTCCAAAAATACAAGATTTAAAGTTGCTAATTCCATGAGTGGACACATGTGGACTTTACTCTGGTTGATTTAATTTAATAGAAATATTTTCTTGATAGTACCATATAAAATATGAAAATCAGAAAAGCAATCAGCAAGGGATCAATATTGTACTTGAAGCAGTACATATTTATTACACTCTTAAGGCAATATCTCAAGAAATCTTGCTTGTTGAGGAATGGGATTTTCAGAGTGGCATCGTACATAATTACTAAACAATTGCCTATTTGTTTTCTATGTTTATTGATATAATAAATCAACTGTGCAAACAAAAACCCACAAAGTTCACATCCTCTCTAAAATGTTTTCTTTTACTTTGGTGGCATCGCGCATCAAATATCAAAGAACCAAGGCAGTTTAATAATTCTATTGACTATCCTTTGGAATCTGCCAGATGTTTGCATAAATTATCCTCAGTTTGGACTCCAGCTCTGATAATTCCTTGATTATAACTTTGAAGTATATGATCTTCCAACTACATCATTGATATCAACAACCGTCTTCTGATGCTTGGAAATGAGTTAGATCGAGTGTTTCATTTTGACAAGATGGTAACAAAATCAAGGGCCCAATAGTTGTGACCCGAGTTTTTATCCTTGATAAAATAATAATATGTGGGTTTTTGTGTTGATGCTTTAGAAAAATAAATAAGGTGACGAGTCACGTTCACCAACCCTGTGCCTTTGAAATTACCTTCAAAGTAATCAAGTTCACTTGGCAAGACAAAAATATGCTCTAATAAAAGATAATAATAATAATATTGCACTCTAGTATAGCGCTCATCTATATAGCAAGGTGCTCCTGCATGTATGTTACCTGACCTTAACTAGGCTACATATTTTGGTAC